AAAAAAAGACAGTAATGGCATGTTATGGCAAAAAATCTGAAGACATCAGTTAATACAACACTTTATTTCATTTGTTGGTAAATAAAGATACATGCCTCTTGTGGGCCTAATTTCCACTGAAATATCTGATTACAATTTTGCTGAAGAAGAAGAAATCAGTTCTGGATTGTAATGTCAGTCCCGCTGTTCAAAAGTGCGGGGTGCTGCTTTGTTTTATTGAAATTATATTTGGGCCATGTTGATATTTGTTTTTAACACTTACTTTTAATCCCCCCCCCCTTTTTATCTTTTAGGCATTTCAAGAAGACATATAATATTTACTTGGTTTTTATTCCTGAGCTGTTATTCATGATGTGCATCTTTGGCTACCTTGTGTTTATGATCTTCTTTAAATGGTTGGCTTACTCTGCAGAGGACTCCACGTCTGCTCCCAGTATTCTGATTCAATTTATTAACATGTTCCTGTTTCCTGGTGGTGGTGGTGAAACAAAGGGCCTCTACCCTGGCCAGGTGAGTGGTGTTCTTACACACTTCTGACATCCTGTGTTCCCTGTGCAGATAACACTTTAAAGGAAAACAAGATGGCTTTTCCTACTTAGGATTTTGTGATCTAATCTAATTTTTTCCCTCCTCAAACAGGCTCCTCTGCAGAGGTTTTTACTTAGTGTTGCTTTTCTTTGTGTTCCTGTTATGCTTCTTGGGAAACCACTGTATTTATATTGGTTGCACAGCGGAGGCCGAGGCATCAGAATGTGCAGGGTAAGTACTGGAAGACTCCTGCATGTTTGCTCAGTGCAGAAGAGTTCAGGTGGTGTTGTATTATTGCACAGAGTCATGTCCTCACTGGATATTTCAGAGAATGGGTTGGGTTGGAAGGGACCTTAAAGACCTTGCCATGGGCAGGGACACCTTCCACTAGCCCAGGTTGCTCCAAGCCCCGTCTAACCTGGCCTTGGACACTTCCAGGGATGGGGCAGTCACAGCTTCTCTGGGCAACCTGTGCCAGGGCCTCACCACCCTCACAGGGAAGAATTTCTTCTGTATACCTAAACTTAAATTTCCCCTTTTTTGAGTTTGAATCCATTACTCCTTGTCCTATCACTTCAGTTTCTGCTCAACTTGGAAAATTTTTGACTGAAACACATAGTAGTGCTTTGTTCCTCTAAATCTTTTTGCCTTTAAATAAATTTTGAAAATGTCATGGCAGCCTGCTTGAAGACACAATCCATTTCCATTTTGTAGAGTGGCTACAGACCAATCAGAAAAGAAAGTGAAGAGGAACTTTCTCTCCTGTCATGTCCTGATGTGGAGGAAGGCAGCAGCCATGCAGACAGTGGGCCCAGAGAAGGGGATGCAGAGGAGGTGATGCTTTTACTTAATGTCTAGTTTGTATGTCCTTAAAAGCAAATTAGAAGTAGGAAATCAATAAGATAATCTGTACTCTGCGTGCCTGGAAGTTTGGAAGAAAATTAGCTGAGCCTTTACAGAGACATTGAATCCTGAATCCAATTTGCTTATATTTATTTATTGCTATTTTAGCATTATTTCTTGGTCTTTTCAGACTGCTGCAGTAAACCACAGTCCATCTGTAGCATAGAACAGGAAAAGGGCTTTATTGGCAAATAAGGCTCTGCTTTTAAGATATGGGTTTTCTGAAATTGAATAGTGGGGTAAAAATCTTGGTTTATCTATGGTTTTATGGATTCTTAAACTTAAGGGAAGGTGATGACTGCTCAGCTTCCTGTTAGTTAATCTTGGGCTTTCATCTGGACAAAAGTCTTTTTATGTCTGCAAATTACATCTTGTGATGAGGATTATTGCTGGTGGGGGTTGGGAGGCATGGGCAGCATTCCTAGTCCCCACCTACTGCTGCTGTTTAGTTTGGGCAGATTCTTAAAGGTCTTGGCAGATTCCACTGATTTCTTGTGAGTTGAAAGGAAAAGAAAAATTGCTTTTTGTTCTCTCATGCTATGCTGTGTTGTTTAAATTGATACAAATGTGTTTTTATCTTCTAGCTGAATTTTGCAGATGTTTTTATGAATCAGGTGATTCACACCATTGAATACTGTCTGGGATGTATTTCTAACACAGCCTCATACCTGAGACTCTGGGCATTAAGTCTTGCTCATGCACGTAAGTGGGGATTTTTTTGATATTTTGGGGTTTTTTTCCCCACATTTGTCTTTATTTTTAATGCTGGTTAGAGGGAGGCTGGTCTGTTCAAGTGATACTAACATAAAATTATCTTTTTCTTAATTTAAAAAAAAAATTCCCTATTTAAACTAATCATGATCTATGGAAGCCCCCAGACTAAAATTGTGACTTTATGTAAAATTTTGCTCTCACTAGATGTGGTTTTGACATTGATTTTTGAAACCTTTGAACATTTGAAGGGTTTGGGGGCAACTAACTGGGGCGGGGGAGTTCTTGGAGTTCCCGTGTTCAGCGGCTCCTGTAATATTGGCTAAACTGGAATAGGTCAGAGTGGCTCACTGGGTGACTGTACTCAGTATCAACATTAATTATGAAAACTTTTTGGTTTTTACCAGAGTTATCTGAAGTTCTGTGGCAGATGGTGATGAGGGTGGGGCTCCGTGTGGACACCTCGTATGGTGTCTTGCTGCTGGTGCCTGTCCTGGCCTTCTTTGCTGTGCTGACAGTTTTTATCCTGTTGATCATGGAGGGGCTTTCTGCTTTTCTCCATGCCATACGACTTCACTGGTGAGTTCATTTTTTCCTTTAGCATATACTGGCTTGTTTAAGAGGAATTTTTATGTCAAAATATTAGGTACTTTATTAAAAAAATGTAAAATGCAACTCATGCTACTGTAATAGATTTATTTAATCATATTAAATAGATTTAATCATATTAAATAGATTTATTTAATCGTATTAAATAAATGGCTTGTTAGTTGGATGTGATTGTTCCTCTGGAATATTTTCAGTAAATTCAAATACATTGGCTTATGGTGCATATTAACCTCAGCCACATTCAGAGTTGATTTTGGTGCAAACTATGAGTACATTTAATTTATAGTAATGCAGCTTTTCATAATGTAGAATATTAGTAACATGGATAAGTATTTTTCCTTTCAGCCTGGTTATCACACTGTATGGTTTCAGTTTATTTAATTTATTTGATTCAACAGAACATTTATATTAGTGAGTGGGGCTGCCAACTCTTAAGTATTTTAATCCTTTCTTAGTCTTAATATCACAAGCTCTGCACGTTGGAGTGGATTCAGAGCACGTTTAGTTTGAAACCTGATGAAATTTGCAGTTTAAGAAATATAATGTATAAACATGAGGCAGAGCTGTTGCATGACAGCATTGTCCTCATGATATTGTACGTTTGCAAAGCAATTAACTGCAACCAACTCAAAACCAAACTAGGAAGCCAGAAGTAAGAAATGAGCCATTACAGCACAATCCAGTGGCTTTTGGTCTCCTGAGAAACATGGAATTAGCCTGGAACTGCAATGGGAAGATGAAATAGCTGCACAGAAAACAAGTGAGAGGATTAGGGTTGGTTTTGTTCAGTCTCTTGTGTTGCACAGCTCTGTCCCTTGACAGCTGATTCCTTTGGATTCATGCACAGATTCTGTTTTTTTGTCTCGTTTCAGGGTGGAATTTCAGAACAAATTCTACTCCGGTGCAGGATACAAGTTTACGCCTTTCTCTTTTAAGCACATTTCTTTACATTTTAATAAAGATGATGTATGATAGTTTGGCTGCTGTCAGCAGAAATGTTTGGAATTGTCTGCAAATAACCACGTGATTGGATCTTGCCAATGAATGGTTTCTTGTGGAAGAAAGTGGTTTTCACTGATTGCCTTATAATGCAGCCAAATAATACTGTAAAATATACCTCCCATAGATAGACATCACAGATCTGGAGCATCTTGTAAAGTATATGGATATAAAATGTACATTTTTCTTGATAAACTAATGTTGTAAATTAATTTTATTCTTTAAAAAAAGAAAAGTTGTTACTGCTTGTCCTAAAACCTGAGTAGGCTGCTTTTTTTTTTTTTTTGAGGCTGTTTATTTTCTTGAATGGTTACTTTTAAGTTATCTGAAAGAATGTTCATCATATTAAGGATTTGTTACTAATCACATACTTAACCAAGCTGCATCTTGTGCACTTTGGGAACAATTCAACAATACAAATTCAACAGTGAAACAGAAGCAAGGTATGTTTTCAGTATGTATTCCAGTATTATTATGAAGTGTAAATTTATACACAGCAATGCAACGTGCTCTTTTTTGGCCATATTTAAAATTGCACTGGAAATGTTAATTGTTCATTCTGAGTTCTGCCCGGAATTACTACTTTAAGCTTTTGGAAGCCACACTGATATTTGTATTTAATGTTATGGAGGAAGGCAGGATTAGAAGCATTACTCCTTTTCCCTGTAGCAAGGAATAACTTTTGCACAGGGAATAACGAATTGGTCTCAATCCTTGATTCTGTTTGGCTGTGAGGACACACAGGCAGCACTACCTGATGTTGTGAAACCTTAACTTATACCGAATAACGTGGAAAGAGGTCGTTTTATACTATTTTTGTATCAGTGTGAAAATGGGGATACTGCGGTCATCTTTTACCACCTTGTGCCATGCGAGCAGCACAAGTTAAATTTTGCACTTGTTTCATACGAGTTCCCAATAAAGCCTCGTTTGCGCTGTGCCGAGCGGGGCCCGTGTTTGTCCGTAGCCTTTTCCCTGTCCCAGGCGGTGCTGAGGGGAACGAGCGGCCGGTGCCGAGGGGAAGGAGCGCCCGTGAGAGACGGCGGGCGCTGAGGGGAAGGAGCGCCCCTGAGGGGAAGGACCTGCCGTGAGGGACGGCACGGGACGAGGGCAGGCGGTACCGCAGCCCCTCGAGGCACTTCCCGAGGCGGGCGCGCAGCCCCCCGAGGCGGGCCCTGGGCGGGCAGCGGCCGTCGCTCCTCCCCGCCCCGTTGCCGTGGGCACCGTGAGGCGTCGGAGCGGTCGCCGCCATGAGCCTGGGCGACGTGCGGCTGCGGTGGCTGCGGGACCGAGCGCTCGCCCTGTTGGGTCTGAGCGACCCGGCGCCTTTCGAGGAGCTGCTGAGCCGCGGCGAGGAGGCGCGGGCCGTGCTGCGCTTCTTCGGCGAGGATGCGAGCGGGGCGGGCCCGGCGCTGCTGCTGCTGCTGCGGGCCGAGCGGCGCGGCCGGGACGGTGAGGAGGCGGAGGGTGAGGGCCCCGCCGAGCCCTCCCTGGGCACCGCCTGGCCTCGGGCCCCAAATCCTTCTTTCTCCCTCCGTCAGGGCCACATTTGTCGTAGCCCCGTAACCCCTGTCCTTACCCCTTTCCCTGCCTCTCCGTCCCTTGGGCTGTGTGCTCCTGGACCCCTTCAGTCCCACCCACTTCCAGACTTTGCCCCCTCTGGGTTTGCCCTGTTGGGATTTGCACCATCCCTGCTGCAGAGGGGTTATATCGTGCTTTCCTCCCATGTTGTGTTTGTGCAGATACAGGAGACACGAAGGGGGTTGCAGGTGAGCTGCAGGAGGATGGCTCAGGTAACCCCTGTCCTGAGCAGGTGCCTGGAACAGCCTCCTGTGTGGCACTGGAGGGCAGTCGGTGTTCTGATGGCCAAAGCGTGGTCCTGGCAGGCCACAGGGGCTGAATGTGATCTGCTGATGTGGTTCTCTTAAGCAGATCCAGCAGAATCTGTAACATCAGCAGGTTCTTGTCCCGGGAAAGCAGATCTGATTTTGTGGAGAGCGTCCTGGGCAGTGTGGCTGATTAGTGTTTTCCCAAGAGCTTCTGCCTCAGGATGCTCCTTTGAAAAGAAAGCTCTCCTAAGTTTGGCTCTTTCATCTTTTCCAGGTAGAAGGAAAGAAAGAAACTGTCTGGGATGAACAGAATCAATCCACAAACATAGATCTTCTTTGTCTGTGACATCTTTTACTGGGTTTATAATTTCAACTTCTTAGAGATTGATTTTATTAAAATACAATTAATATGTTCCCTTTAGTAGGAATGAAACAATTTACCTTGTCTTAAGAGTTGCAAGCTCTTCTCTTGTTTCTGATGTAGTGTTTTGAGGATAAAAGTGGTGATCCTGTAAAGACTGAACATCAGTCCAATACTTTAACCTCAGTATTGTAGAGAAGCCTTTCACACACACACACAGAAGGAAAAAATAATAAAGGAAAATGGATAGAAAGTGTGTTATAAAGGGTGCATGACAAACCCCTTAATTATTTGCATTTCCATTTACAAAGTAGTTTCATCTTGGAATGTGTTAATCCACTCACTTTGCCATAAAGGATCAATTGTGTTGGAAAATGCTGGTAAGGATATTCTAAATAAAGACCAATTTCCTGCAGAACACAGTACAGTTCCTTGCTTATTTGAATTCAGTTCTCCACAAGTAATGCTGTCCTATGGAGAAATGGACAATTAACACCAAGGTTGGATGGCTGGTTGCTGAAAGGTGATGCTGACGATGGAAGAAAATGCTCAGTCATTTAGTTTGAGAGGAAAATTGGACAGATCCATCTTATACACAAGGATAATGTTCTTTAATTGAGTTCTCTGGTGTTGTTCCTTCTTAGGGGTGACTCAGGGAAGCAAGACATCCCCTCTGCAATCTGCAGACAACAAAAGTGTGTCAGGTGATGACAGTACAGAACACACCCCACAGGTACATGCCTTGTGTTTTGCTCTGTCCTTTCCTGGGTGCTGGCTTTCTGATGGAAATATTGCAGTAAAACTGGTAGGCAAATCAAAGAGGTTCAGTGCAGAGCAAGGACTCAGAGCAGAACATTTTGCAAGAACAGGAATTTCCATTCATAACCAGTGGCCTGTTGTGTCTGCCATAGCCTCTGACTTGGAAATCAAGTGTTCCCAAAGCTGATGCTTTTTATTGCTAGCTGAGTGATTTTTTAGCATTTCATATATTTTATTAGTTTATTTGGATAGCACTATGAAGATAATTGAGTTAAACTAATAGTTCTATCTCAGGCAAATATTTTCTTGCTGTTAAGGGGCGTGGTAGCAAACAGGAATAGTCATACGTCCTTTTTATTTTTTGTTTCAGCTACAGGAACAGAAAGTTGACAAAGTATGTTTCTACGTGGCTCTTGATGAAATTCCTGAAGGATTTGTGTCAGATTTTACTGTGTATTTTCTGAGAGACACCAAAGGTGTGTGCCCTGAAGAGCTGCCGGCTCGGTGTTTTGGGTTTTGCGTGAAACAACAATTCTCACTGAGAAAATGTGGCTGGGATTCAGGATAGTGCATATCCAGCCTAATATACTGGGTAGGAGTACAGAAAGAATAGAACAGAAATCAGGAATGCTTGGTCATTTTATGGCAGTTCGGTGCAAGATTTTCCCGGTCTATCTATAAAATAAGGGTTCAAATCAAGGCCACTGTTTTTTTGAACAGAAAACCATTTTCTAACTCTCTGGCTGGATTGTCAAGGCTTGAACCCAGGTGATGACACTGAAGTATTTTTCTGCCCTTTCTGAAGAAGCATCTGCACTATTAAACCCAGCATTTGTTTTGAATGTGACTTGTATCAAACCTAGTAGTGTTTTACTGGAGTTTTAACTTATTATGGAAAGGGCTTTATGCTTTCTTTATAAAATAATTAGATTTATGCTAATTATTTGTGTACTAGAAAAAGTTGCTGAACCTAAGGACCTGACTGAAGCTAATGAGATTCTTCCTCAAGTGATAAAGTCTGGTATACTGACTGATGACACTGCCCTGATGCTAAAGGATGCCATCTCCCAGGTAAATGTGTTACAGCTCTTTTATATGGAGTCTTGAGTGTTTCTAGGAGTGATTTGTCCCCTTAGTATTCTGCTGAGCATATGGACTATGCATAAGAAATACTATTATATAAGTGACCTTCATATGCCAAAAAGAAGTTTTTGTTAATCCTTGTCTGATATTTTGTTTCCTAAATTGTTTGTAAAGATGTGGAGATGGGCATTATTTCATTGCCTTCCCCTGTGTGAGAATCATTTAAGAGTGTGACACCAGACAACTTTGTGGCTGTGTCTGTATCTTCAGGGATTTCCATAAAGACCTTCTGGAGCTATTCCCCTGCAGAATTTGAGGCAGAGAGAATGATGCCAAAGGGCTGAAATGGAAGGAGACACACTGAAATTAAATTTTAGAACAATGTCCAATGCTTAAGTGAATTTCTAGTAAACTGACTTCTTTTTTTCTGTGGCACCTTTTGAATTCTAGGTGTTTTCACCAGCTCTCTCCCATGGTCAGCAGCAGACTAAGGAAACTACCTTTCATTCAGATAGTGAAAACACAGATTCTGAAGAAATGAATTTACCTGAGTCTGACCTTGCAGAAAAGAAAGAACAGCCTGTGGAAAACTCTGATACTTCAGTGAGGAATGAAACTATACAACAAAGAAAAGGTGAGTGTTCTGCCTCTGCAGCACTGTGGGGATTAGATCTCATAGCAGTAAAGAGGTTTAGCATCCCTTCTCTGACAGGGACTGCTGCCATTCCATTTTCCAGGAATATATATTTGTTTGCATTGTGTTAACTGCTAAAAAAATGAATCTGTTTTGCTCTGTCCTCAAGCAGGCAGAGCAGGTGGTTGGTTACCTGTCCTCAGGTAGCCAAGAAGAGAGAAGGCAAAGGCCATTCCAGTGGTGCCACGTTACCAATGCTGTTGGAACGAGACAGCTCCTTCTGTGTGCATTTTCTTTCAATAGGAGATATTGAACTGGAGATGCCAACTGTAAATCTGGATGGAGAAGTGCCTGTTCTTGCCTCAGATCCATCAGTGGTTCAATCTCTGGAAAGTTGTGCAATGACCTGGCAGAAATTAATATCCACAGTTCTGAAGGAACAACTGAAAAAGGTTCCACAGGTAATGTTGCCTATAACTCCAGGATGATTTTACTGCTGGAGACTTTGCTTCCTTCCCCCATAAGAATCTCTTTGAATGGTTTGTGTTAATTTTTAATTCCTCTTCATGTTTGCTTGTTGGAAAACCATTTACTAATTGATGAAAAGTAGAAAAAAAGTAGTGAGGAACTGTGTGGCTCTGGGAAGTAGAATATAAATAGAATATAAAGTAACTCAGTGCAGATCCTACCCACACAGGATAACTAAGGGACTTCTGTTAACTACTCTTCTAAAGAGCCATGAAATACTAAAAGCTGCAGTGATTTTTTTTTTTAAATAGACAGCTATATTTTTGATTGAAAAAAGTAATCTCAAACAAAAAAGTTCCAATTTTAAGATTCTGATTCAGCAAACACATATATGACTAATACAATTAAAAATACTGTGGGATTTTATGTCTGTAAAGTTACCTGTGCATAAGCTTTTGGACACTCCAGCTTAGGGATATATTCCCCATGAGCAGTTCCCTTCAGTGTGTGTAAAAGTCTTGATTTCAAGGATCTTCTTCTGTCTGGGTTTTTGCGTGGTTGAGTCATATCAGATTTGTCTCAGCATAAAACATATAAAAAACAAAGAACAAATATAGTCCTGGTTATAAGTTTTCACTCTTGCCTCATAGTAATTTGGATCTTTTTATTTGTTTCCACATTGCTTGTAGGGTGATGGTGCACTTGCAGAGATTGACCTCTGGCGTGAAAAAAACGCAGCTTTAAGTGATCTTGCTGAGCAGACAAAGCTTCCAGAGGTGCAAAAAGTCTTGGAAATATTACAAGAAGCTGAATCTGAGTGTGCTGGAGATTTACAGATAGTCTTGAGTGACCTCAGAAAATATCACATGGAAGCTCTGGATAACGTTAAGTTTCTTTCAGCCCTCGAGCGCCATTTGCAGGTACGTGAACTTGAGAAAAGTCGGTGGAGTTTGAGCTGTAGTTACCTGAGTTTGGTTTCTCTGTTGGTGTAATCACCTCTTGTTTATATTTTTACTTTTTTTCAGCAATAAAGGTGTACTCTAGATTAATAAAATACATTTAATTAAAAAGAAGATTTGCTTATTTTGTTTGAGTTACAGTTGTTTTAATATTTGGAAGCCCAGAGCTGTGAACACTTTGTTTGTAAATCCAGCCTTGGGAGGATTTGATAGTGTAGCTGAATTGGGGAAAACAAAGATTTCTGTACCCCATTTTTGAAGTAATTTCTACCAAAAATTGCAGCTGATGTCTCAGTGTTTAAGTTTTACTGAAAACCATCTGAACATCCAAATAAAGAGTTGAGCCAAAATCCGTCTGGGGACAGCTTTTACAATAAAGAGACTATTAATAAGACAGGACATAAAAAGCATTTGGAGCAAAAGGTGCAGATTTGCACATCCTTAACCATGGGTGTTATTGAGGCACCAGGGTTATTTATTTAATAATGTCACAGACTTAACTTCAGGCATCTATAGAATAAATACTGGTTAACTGAATACGAATTTATGTGTTTTCATGACATCTTATTCTCAATATGCATTTCACAGAATTTAGCATATGGCACTGGGGCTGATGTTGTCCTGAACACAATTCCCTCCCTGCTCAATGCCCTGAAGATGGTGTGGGTTATGTCCCGACATTACAACAAGGATGAGCGGATGGTTCCCCTCATGGAACGAATTGCATGGGAAATTTCCACAGCAGTGTGCAGATTTTTGGATCTACACACACTGTTTGAGTAAGTACTGCATTCCTGTTTAACTAGGCTGCACTTATTAAAAGCTTTGCTTGTTTTATATCAAGTGCAATCGATAACACTTTCATCAAATAGGGGCCAGCATTTTTCAGCCATCTGAAGTTGTATTATAAGATCAATTAAAAGTCAATTTATTTTGTAATTTTCATAAATTACTAAACCAGCCCTGAAGACATAGTTGTTTGTCCTCTTTTGTCTCAAAAGGACATAAAACAATGAGACAAATATAAATACAGTGGTAAAAAAAGTAGCATAAATATAATAAAAATCAGTCCTGAAATAGTATCTCCTTTCAAAATCACACTGAAAATGATGTTATGAATTTTTCCTAGATATTATATAATTAGAAGCTGCTAAACTGGGGTATATTAATCCAGCTGAGATAGAATTTTTTATCTATAGTATTTCTATCTATAGTATTTTAACTGTGTTGATTTGATTAATAGAGAAGATAGAGCTGCTGCAAAAAAGAAAATAACAGAAGGCAAAAGCATTCTTGAACAATGGAAGAAATGTTACTTTACTACTTGTGCCCAAGTTGAAGAGTCGGGGAGTGAACGATACTGGAAATTTGACGTGAAACGTTTCTTTGAAAAAACAGATTATATGGCTGCAGTCTGTCAAGATCTGTATGATATTTTTCAGGTAGTGATACAGACAATAAACAAAGGAATCGTGTGATCTTATTCTGTACAGGAGATTCTTTTGTACTGTAGGTGTTGACTTGTTAACAGCCTTTAGTTGTGTGAGTGGGTTTGTGTTTAAGACCTGAGAGGTGCCTTTGATTCCAACAAAATGGCATTTAATGCTGGGGATGGAATGACTTCTCCAGGTGCTGGTTGAGGAAGGATGTTACTGGGTATGTGTTATGAGCTTAAAGACTTGCAGCAACTGTTTCACAGATTTGCAGTTTTTGTGGGTTGCTATCTTAATGAGATGATAAAATACCATTTGCATATACTATAATATCAAATTTGGCCACCTGTGAATCTGTGAATTGATTGCAGAATCACATATGAATGGAGAGATGCTGTGTTTAGGCTAATTTAAGTCAGGGTAATTAGCAATGTGGTCCATCAATAAACTATGTATGTAAAAACTGTGGAGTAAAAAGGAGTAAGAACTGAGTATTATCTGTTGTAACAACTGAAGTGTTGGTTTTCTTTTTAGTGTCTTGTATTAAAATACAGGAAATGTAAATCACAGCACAAATTGATCATTTGCTGACTGGTTTATATTTTTTAAAGGAAAAATTACCAGAAAAATGTGTTAGATGGCAGAAAAACATAATAAAAGAAAGGTTTCTAGTATGTTCTTCTGAATTAACAGGTCACTGAAGAGCTTTACAATATATTTATTCCTGAGCTGACAACTGTGACAGAGAATCCAAAGCGTATTGAGGCACTGCTGAGAGGAGTAAATGGGCTGACTAGTCCTATGAAAGAGCTGAAATTTGACCCTCTGAGCATTAGAAATGCGCGTAGATGGAAATCTGTTATGAGAGAATTTAGAGAAGAAGTTTCAGTAAGTACCATATACTGTGATTCCCATAAAATAGTAAAATTATGCTTGACTACTATTATCAAAAAATGTTTTCGCTTTGCCTCCCTTTCTTGGTTTTGCAAGATGAATCTCTAAGTGACAGGATTTCTTGGCTTTCTTCCTTTGTTTAGATTACTGAAGAAAAGATCAACAAATTTATTGATGAATCTTTTAAGACCCTTCGATCAGCAGAAGCTGCATTTGACATGCTGGTAAAGTTCAAACACATCCAGACTCGTGAAAATGTTAATGAGCACTTGATGCTGAAGTTCAGTGATGTTTTGGACCACTACTGCAAAGAGGTATTTAATTTAGGGATTTCTTATGTAGTACATGAAGCTCTTTAGCAACTGAAAATCATCAATCTCTGTATATGTCTAAATACCTCTGTAGTGTCATTTACTGTCTGAAATTACAAAATAAACATAATAATTGCTCTCCCTTTTTTGGAGCTGGTTGGAGAAATAGTCTGGTTAATTTGCTGAAAGGGTTGTGCACATCTGTACATGTGAGGCACCGTCTGGGAACTGGAAGCATTTGCATGTGCTCTGAATGCATCAAAGCTTGTGGCTATTCCTTCACCTTGTGAATGGCAGTTCAACGGGAGACCTTCCAGAGAAAATTCACCTTTCCTACCCTACAGCTTTCTTGTGCTGGACAACAAGTTCATGGTGTGACCAAAAGGTGTCAGAGATCAACCCTGAGGGCAAAAATAGTTTCTGACATGTGTGTTGGAAAGCTTTTCATGTCAGTGTTTCTCTTGATATTTCAAAGAACATTGACTTTAATGATAAATTGTGATTTTACAGAAAATGCTGCCATAATAGTATTTCCTCAAGGTAGAGAAAGGAAGACAAAAGAATTGTTTTTATCCTGCTGCTGGAATTAGCTTCAGACTGATTAGCTGTGTTCCAGATATTGACCATTGAACAAGCAGTGGAGAAATGGGTCTATGCAATGTTTTATTCTCTTCTAGGTTGAAAATGTTAAGCAAATCTTTCTTCAGAACCTCAAGGATCCACCTCTGTACAAGAATCACCCTCCAGTGGCTGGAGCAATATTCTGGTCCCGCTCCCTTTTCTATCGGATCAAACACACCATTATCCGATTCCAAGAAGTAGAGGAGTTGCTTGCTAGTGAACGTGGACAGAAAGTATGTTGGTTCCTTTGATGTTTGATGAAGGAAGAAATACTTTCCTGATACACTTCTTCTAGAGATGTTAAAGTGCTCTTATGTGTGGGGAATTTCCAAGTCTTTGCACACACCAAGCCATGTTAGTTGTGAAAATCTGGTTGGGACCTTCCCACTGTTTCCCAGGGAGACAGTGATGGACTCAATGTCAGAATTCAAGAGCCCAAATTTTTCAGTGCCTGCATTAATTACAAGGCATTACTTGTCCTCTTGTCTAATAAAAAACAGAAACCATATCAAGACACCATATTAAGACAGGTTAGTTGGTCTTTAAAATGATTTACAGAGAGTTTTCCTTTGTAGGTAAAACAAATATATCTTCAAGTTGCCAAGAAGATGAAAGAATATGAAGATCAAAAATACAGGGAGTGGAGAGAGAGGACAGAACACATTGTCCCACAGTTACTGAAAGATAATCTGCTGACTGTCATCACTGTGGGGGCTGCAACAAATGTTCATCCAGAGACTTCTGAGCAGGTGAGATCTGGGAAAGGGTGTACCAGTCTTCCCTGTGGAAAAGAACTGAAACCTACCTGATGGTCAGCGAGAATTTTCTAAAACCAGTATTTTAAACACAGATTTTGAAAGGAAAATTTCAAAAGTTCTGAGCTCAGAATTGTTTGTGGCCCTTTTGAAGACATAGTTCCTGAATCACCTGGCAACTGAATGAATGTTGATTCTCTGCGTGTTCTTCTGTGCTATAGTTCATATATGTGTTTATATATATATAAAAATATATATATATAAATATAAATATATATATAAAAATATAAAAATATATATATATATATATTTAGGTTTTGGTACAGCATCTTTAGGACATTGCAACATAACTTGGGACTGAAGTTATGTAGAGGCAGGTTCCCAGCAGGGATCATACAGAATCCAGTTCTTACTAAACTTGTCTGACTGAATTTCCCCTGGGATTTCTGTTGTAACTGGTTGCAGCAATATGTACACAGAGGTGATTTGGTTTGTTTCTTGTAATTGGCTTTCACTGAAGAGGTAGTTGTGTGTAATTCCTGAAACAGGAGTACTGAGGCTGCTGTAGAATTTTAAAGGCATTTTCACAAGCTCTGGATGTCAGTCATTCTGACTTATACCTGCTGCCTGATGCGATGTCTCCAAGAACTCACCTTTACCTTGTAACAGATTGGTGCTCATCTCCTTTCTGCTGCTCTTTCTTGTGTTGCAGAGCTCTGTAACAGAGGAGTCTGTCACCACCAAGAAAAGTCTCTGCTTTGGAGTGAATTTTTCTCCCATACTCCAAGAGATTATCATTGAAACAAACTACATGGAACAACTGGGGCTTCCAGTCCCAGAAATAGCGAGATACGTGGCATTGCAGGAAGACAAATATGTTAGGTAAGGCTGTAACAGAATATCTGCTCACATACAGACTTATGGCAGCATTTCAAGTGGTTTCACTCCAAACCAGAATGGGCCCTGAGTCATCAAATCTTGGAAAGATGAGGGCTCTTAGTGACTTTTTTTGTAAGGGTACAATTACTAATGGCCATGTTGCACTGATAAGCTTTTCTCTGGCACTGGCTGCATCCTTTACTCTGTAGGACTGTTATACAAATTAACATCTTGTCAAAATAATTTGTTTTGCAATCAATTGCATTCAGATTTCATTTAAATTTACTGTTGCTTTCTTCCTGTACAGCCTTGAATAAGTCAGTTGTATCCAAATTATCACAGGCATTTACACACAGATGTGCTGATAAGATCCTTAACTGGATATTAAAGTTCACCTGTTGAGTTCACTTATGTGGCTGAGGCTGCCTCAAAAACTTTCTGAGCTGGGGCAGGAGAGGTTTGTTCAGCTGTTGTTGGAGCCATATGAAACTCTTCTTTTGTTTTCAGTGGGAAATGAATTACATTTATAATCATTACATATTCACTGGTTAGTCCTGCAAATTTTGCTTTATTTTGAAGTCTGAATGGAATGATGGAAGTGCTCTGCTCTTTGATGGAGGTCAGAGCTGTATTTCAAGAAAATCATCATATTATGATGTTGTTGTGTTTCTTCTCTTTAGGTATACAAGTAGATTGAAAAACATGCTCTGTTGCTATCACAAATTAATGGAAACACTGAATGAAGCAGAAACCAAACTTCTTGATAACTATATCCAAGAACTCCGGAGAATATTGAAATCAGGACATAAAAGACTCACATGGAACTCCTTAGGTAATGGAGATACTATTTTAAACTGGCCTTAGACACTGATTTTCAGTCAAAAAATCTCCTCAATTCTGCAACCTACTTTTTATGTCATATGACAGCAATGTATCCCTAAGTGATACATCCTATTGCCACAGTCGAGGCAGAGTAGCAGATGAGAAAAACTCTGATCCAGGAGGGTATTTCCTGTGTTTTTATTATATTTAAAACACTGGAGATGGTTAGAAACCCTTAGATAAGAGCTGTAAGGGAGTTAGATTAAGGATTAGGTGAGAAAACATCTAATCTATCTTTCTGCAGAACCTTGGGTTCATTCTGAGAGATAAACCACATCTGATTATAGCAATTTTGATGCATTGGTAAAATATTTGTTAGAAGAGGAAAAAATCAAATGGTTGTGATTTGTTTCAAGGTATTGGTGAATTTATTTTCCAATGTACACAAGCCATTGAGAAGCTTGAGTCACTTGTCCATCAGATTCATAATATTTCTGAAGACATAAGCAGCAAACTTCTGTTCATAGAATCAGCAAATCTCTTCAAGCTTCCGCTTTCAAAAAATGGTGATGAACTTCCTGGTAAGTTCCCAGATCTGTCACTTGAGTGAGTGAGTGATGGATCAAATTTCTTTCAACACTTTCTAAGTTGTAAAAAGGTTGCTCTCACATCTAATGGTTGGTATTAAATAATTGAATCCATATAAAATCAGAGGGCTGAATTATTAATAAATTAATCATTAATAAGTGAAGATATTTTTATCAGTATAGAGATCAATTTCATGTTCACAAATAAAGCCCAGCTGATTATTCCAGTGTATAAATCTGTTACATCTTTTGCAGTTAATAATGCTTTTTTTTGTATCTGTTGCAGAAGCAAACGAATTTTTTGACTATATTAAGTGTGAAAGAGCAAAAGATGTGGCACACATCGTTAGAAAGTATTCTGAAATCCCACTATTGCTAATAGAAGTGGAAGGACAAGTTGCCAATACAAACACTGGCAAATCTCCAAAATTAACTTCCTATTATGCATACTGGGAAAAGAGGATTTATCAGGTGTTGACACAGTTAATTGTGAAGTAAGTAAATTGTTTGCTTTAATGGATTTCCAGTCTTTCATCTTCAGATTTCCCTGGATCTGTTGATCAGTGTGTGTGTAGTGACATTGTTTGAACACCTCAGTGACTTACAGTTTGTGACAGATTTGTATTTGTACAGATTTTTTTCCTCTGAAGAACAGAGAACTGATAACAAGGTACAGGAGAAACCCAAATTCTGAGGAAATGGATATTGGCGTATTTTTGGCAGAAGAGAGAAATAAGATACATTTCCTGCAATGTGTGTAGTTGCACATCCCTGGTTTATTTCTAAAACCAAGGTTTTGTTTTACTAAAGAACACAATTTTGAGAACTTGGTGTCTGGGTGCCTGATGCCTCCCTGTCCTGCAGGGGACACCAGGACAAGAACAAAGGTTTGTTGGGTTTTACTTCACCTGTTCTGCAGTGGCTGAGGCCAAGGAGGTTCTTGTAGCAAGATATTATGTAAAGGGTTCTATTATAAACAAGATATTGTTGCAATAGAGCACTGCAGGGTTATAAAAGCCTCCCAGCCACCTCTACTTCCCATGATCCATGTCTTTGTAAGCTGGGCCATGCTCAGGTGACTTTGTTGTGCTTTCTTGTCAGGGCTTTCACAGAGGAGTTAATAAAAGTCTCAGGATCCTTTTGCACCAGGGTGTCCCCATTCATTCCTTCTGCCAGTTTCTTTAATCAAGCTTTTGTATTAAATCAATTTAGTGGGATAATGTTGCTCCCAGACCCATCAGTGTTTCCAGCTGAAGTTGGTGGTGGCTGATTTCAGACAGCTCAGTTTGCAGATCTGAGCACACAGCTGATAATTGCAGTCTCTGTTGGGCATTTCCATGGGGGCAGCACCTGATTATTTCTGTCTTTGACACTATTTTTTTCCTTTCCTAGGAATTTACAGGCTTTTAATGCAGCTATTCTTGCAAATGTGCCACTGTTACAAATAAAAGCTGTTTTCTCTGTTCCTGAGATCACCTTTCAACCCAGTGCCAGCGAGATTGACAAAATGGTGGCGCAATCCATCCAAGACTGTGTTGAGGTCACTAAGGTGATTTTTGATAAAGATTTTTTTTTGTTGCCAGAGTTTGCTTGTGATTATAGTGAGCCAGTCTTGCTTTATGTTTGGGCAAGCATAAATGTCAATAGGAAGATTCATATTGCTTTATCTTGAACTCAAAATATCCAGTACATTGTCCTAATTTTACAAACTGATGACAAGGAAAAAAAACACCTATAAAACTTCATGCAATTTATACTCAGGCAAAATTATCTATTACATTTAGCAGTTTTGCCAGTGTAAGGACATGATTTGGTTCTATAACACATCAGAAGGAAACACTTTTCAGATTGCACTGCAGATGTTGCTTTCTGATGAATGAATAAGCTGGTGGAATAAGGAAAGTGAGTATCCTCCTCTACATTACATTTCTCCTTAAAAGCAGCAGAAAAACAGTTCAGGAAATGTTGGAGAAGGGCATCTAGGACACATCTAGGACAGTAAATATCTAGAAATATGCAGCTTGCTGGCAATGATGCACCAGTATTTTCCTGCATAAATATTGAACTGCTTTCCTGAAAAGAAGCCAAATATTGTGGCAGTGTCCTTGCCCTATGCTGATGGAGAAATGATTCCACCTGAAATGAAATGATTCCACTGGAGCAGAAAAGCAAATCTGAGCATAGGAAGCACACCTCTTAGGTGTGCTTCCTATGCTCAGATTTGCTCTTCTGCTCCAGTTCTGTATCCAGCCTGTTTGATCCAATACTTTTTTCTCTCTGTCCTACTATATTGTGGCTCAGCAGAGATTTTAGAAGCAGGTTGAGTAATGCATGGGAAGGTTTTGTTAGGATGAAATTAACTCTTCTCAAGTTGATGGGAAAGTGTAATGCTCTCAGAAAAACAATTGATTTGAGAAATAATTCACTCCACTTCCTACACTGTGTCCTAAATAATGGTGAATCTCTTCACCAAAAGGGTTATCAAGTGCTGGCACAGGCTGCCCAAGGAAGTGGTGGAGTCACCATTCCTGGAGGGATTTAAAAGATGTGTAGATGTGACACCTGGGGACATGGGTTAGTGGGGGTCTTGTCAGTCCTGGCTTAATTGGTGGACTCGATGAAGCTTTTCAACCTGAATGATTCCATGAATGATTTCACTAAAATGACTCTACAAGGTAACTTTTTCAACCCTGTCTTAAAAACTCCAGCACTTTGTGCGGTGGATGCACGGCACGTGTATCGAGTGCCCTCCTCAGCACGTCAGGAAAGATGAAGTTGTCATTTTCAGCTTCTACAGTGACGTCTCCCAGAGCCCCCTGATGATTGAACAGGCTCTTCTAATCACTCACAATGTCCACAAAGTCCTGGCTTCTCTCAGCAAGTATTTGAACCAATGGAACAGGTACGAGCCACTGTGGAAATCAGACAAAGGCACAGTCCTGGAGAGGTTGGCTGCAGAAAAGCCTGCTTGTGTCACCTTTGATGAACAGTTGCAGTTCTATATGAAGGTAGCTCAGGAAGTGACTCAACAGCCCTTGATTAAAGATGAACAATTTATCAGGCTTCAGCTGGCTCCTTTAGCCTTCACAGTGCAGGAGAATGCTAAAGGCTGGATGCTTTCACTTGGGAAGTTGCTTAATGAGTCAGCAAGAGAGGAGCTTGTCACGTTGAGGGATGAGATTCAGGTAAGTGTTTTCAGTTTGGTTTTTTTGTTATCTTTATCACGTAGACTGAAAATGAATCTGCATGTTATTTGCTTGTATTTTTTGTTTGACTCATTATTATAATTCTGCCTAATTGCTTTGTCAGTGTTGATTCTGGAAATTATCTTTACTTTTTACAGAGATTATCAGAGAATCTTAATAGACCTCTCGATACCCTGGACAATTTCAGAGTTGTCCTTAGCACGTTTGTAGAGATCAGAGGCATGTCCTTCGAGGTGGAGCTGAACTATTTGGACATCCTGGAGAGATACCGAACTCTTGCATTGTACAATATTCCAGTAAGTGCATGTCTCATCAAACAGCTCAGATTTGAGCTAAGGGCACAAATGCCTCACATGTGAATGAATAAATGTTTTCATTTTAAGACATTTGACAGACTTACAGTATCTAAGGGATGTCTGGAGATTGTCTAGTCTCCCCTTCTCAAATCAGCATGTCCTCTTTAAAATGGACATATGGCATGTGTTTAAATCTGATTGAGGTCACTTCCGTACTGGTTTTGTGTTTTGCAAATTTATAAAGTCACATACTTTCCTGTGGCTCCTTATTTCTTGTTTGTTCTAGGTAGCTAAAGAAGAGCAGGACAAGATTAGGGAAGAGTGGGAGACTCTTGTCCTGGAAGCAGCACAACTCAATCGCAACATGGATCGTAAAGGAGGTGCAAAAGAAACATTCACAAAGGTAATCTTCGTAATTAATACTATAAAACAGATTCCACAGAAATGGAAAGGAACACAATTTAAACACTGTTTTTTTTAGGTTACACAACAACAAATTAAGGACTACAGCAAAGAGACAGAAGATTTCTTTCAGAAACTCATTACTGAGGGGCCTGGTTCTGTTGGGGATGATCTTGATAAAGGTAAATGGATTGATGTGTGTGAAGTGATGTCTTGAAAATATTAGTCTTTGGATAATTCAAATTTTATGTAAAGCAAGGAAATTGTGCTTTCCTTATTAACATCCAAACTCCTAAACCAGAAATGTGAATGTTTTTAATCCTAGAACTTCTTCAGACTGCATGCAAATGCTGTCTTATTTATTTCCCATGAATCCAGGGATTATTTATCTAGAAAAATTCCTCTCCTTTCCCAGGATTGGAACTCATGGCCCATTTTGATAAAGAATTGGAGAGACTGGAAAAAAAGCATCGGGAACTGGGCAGTGCTGAGAAACTTTTAGACTTGCCAGTAACAGTGTACCCGGACTTGATGAAAGCACAGAATGATGCAAAAGGTCTAAGGCAGGTCTATGAGATTTATGCATCACAGAAAGTGAGTATCACACTATGTCTGCATGGGCACACAGAAAGGGGGGAGAGAGGAAGAGGCTACATTGTTACTGTCCACTCTGTTCAAAGCCTGTGCATGAAATAAGCTGTACCCTGTAACTGGCCATCACTGTGAATTAATTTGAATGATATTAGTGCAGCACTAACAGTGTCTCCACAGAACCAAACACATTCTCTTATCAGATAGGAACAGACTTCTCCCTGCCCCTAATAATTATTGGATGGCACTTCTTTACTGCATGAGTCTCCTGATCATTTCAGTGGAACTACTTTTGGATATAGTATGTGTACAGGTGACAATGGGTATCTCAGGCTTTAACTAGTTTTTAAGAAGTTTTATTTTTCCAAAATTAAAACGCCCTGTAAAGTATGCTCTTAAGGATGCTTTTTCTGTTCTCCATATTATGAATCTGTCTTGGACATGAACCTGTCTCTTCCTCTGTTTGTAAAATATTAACACAATTCCATCTACATCCTGACTGTCATCTCTAGATCCTGCTGTGGTGAAACGATTGGTTTTTTGGGGGGGGGGTCAAAACATGATTTTTTTCCTTCCCAGGCAGCTAAAGAGGAATGGTCTCAGACACTCTGGATAAACCTGAATGTCCAGGTTCTCCAGGAGGGAATCGACGGATTTCTCAAAGCCCTCCGCAAGCTGCCCAGGCCAGTGCGCAGCATGGCAGTGGCTGTGCAGTTGGAAACCAAAATGAAGGCATTTCGAGACTCCATTCCTTTGCTGCTTGACTTGAAAAATGAAGCTTTAAGAGAAAGGTTTGCTTTGATTTATTGAAAACCAATATTTTATGCGTTTTGTTAGAACTTTTAATTTCCATTACTGGGGTCATGCCATGTCCTGGAGTTTGGAACTTTACTTTCTGCTTAATGAATGTGTATGATAGCATCCAAGTGACTGCAATGACTGGGATACTTTATATATTCAAAGTAGTAGTTCTTGTTTAAACAATGGAGTGCTAAACATGGTTTCATTATTATATGTTAAATTACAGTTGTTTTTTTTTACTGTATCTGGTACAATTGATGTGTCAATTTAAAACAGGCATTGGCAAGATCTTATGGAGAGAACAGGAACAAAGTTTGAAATGAAAACAGAAACATTCACTTTGGAGAACATGTTTGCTATGGAACTTCACAGACATAAAGATATTATCAGTGACATTGTTGGAACTGCTGTTAAAGAACTCAGCATTGAGAAGGTAATGTATTAAATTATAAAATCGTAATAAAATTAGGAGAGGATGACAAAAGTCTGAGTTTTATTTGAGATTTTTAAGTTGTTATGACAGCAAGTTTGGCCATCTTCAGGTAGCTGCCATGATGGAACTGATGACAACTGAGATCAGTAGCTCTGTTAAGAAGCTCCTACATGGCACAGAACCCCAGCAGTATTGCCTTGGCAGCAGTATATTGGATTTCTGTTATTACAATAAGCAAGTTTGTCCTATGAAAAAAGGATCTGAAGAGGGATCCATTCTGTTGCCCTCATCATGTTTTGAAATAGACCCTTCTTTACAAACCAGAGTTAGAAAATCTCTGCAAAAATTTTGCTGAATTAATTGTTACATTTTTTTGCTTAAGATTATAGTTCTCCAGTTTTTGAAGATTAAAAGATGCATCATTTATGCTCACATGCAGGGAATGAAGGAAATAATAGATACATGGGAACAGATGAAATTCACTGTACTAGAATACACCAAAGGCACTGAGAAGCGAGGCTTTATTCTGGGACCCTCAGAGGAAATTTTAGAGATTCTTGATGACAACAATGTCAGCCTTCAGAGTGTTTTGGGCAGTCGATTTGTGGGTCCTTTCCTTTCAACTGCTCGCCAGTGGGAAAAAACTCTGTCATTGATAAGTGAAGTAACTGAGGTAGGAGGAAAGTGCTGGACTAAATAATTAATTTTTATTATTTATAATCAGAATTTTCTGTTGTATTTTTCTTTCTCTGATGATAACATTTGATTCTTAGATCTGGATAGCGGTTCAGAGAAAATGGATGTACCTGGAGAGCATCTTTGTTGGTGGAGATATCAGATCACAGCTTCCAGAGGAAGTCAAAATATTTGACAGAGTAGACAAAATGTTTAAAGAGGCAAGTGATTGACTTGTGATCAGCATAATTTTTTAGTGCATTTTGGTTCCCATTCCATGGTTATCTGTGGTCTTGTGTGTCATGTGTAACACTGAGAATGGCATAATTAATTGAATATGAGATTGGGGAACCCAGGAATTTGTGTTTTACTTCACATCTGTCATAATCAGAAGACTTCTGATTTAGCTAAGGTGGGCAGAGGTGTGATCCTTGGCTGGCAGCATGGGGTAGGCAGAATCTCCTTTTCCTTTCATTGGATACATCTTTTTACCTTTATCTTGATAATAAGAGGCTTAGATGTATTTCTAGAGATTGAGGACCTACATACATGCTGAAAAGGCTTTCCTGGTTCGTGCCACTGTTCCCACACTGAACACATACTCCCAGTATGAACATGACTTACTTTTCTGTTTTCCATCTGCAAAACTGGGAGAGTACTGTGAATCTGAAACACAATGTTTGATCATACCTTGAAGTACCACTGTGTGCAGTCAGGTATGTGCTTATGCTGGCATGGCTTGGGATATAGACTTGTCTTGCTTACACTTGTTTTTACAGTTATGTCTCCATAAACACACTACCTCCATGTTTTCATCCAGCACTGCAGCAACAGAAACCATGTTTTAAAACCTTTGATTCACTTCTGTAAGAACCTGCACTACTTGTGCTGCTTGTGTGCTTTGTCACTAATTAAATATAATTTAGTGTAATCTATTGCTGTTCAGTGTTTTCTAAACTTCATTTTCTCCCTCTGTAGATAATGGATGAAACTGTAAAAGACCCGACAATAAAAACGTGCTGTGAGGTCCCAAATCGTCTGAGAGACCTCCATCATATAAATAATGTGCTGGAGAAATGTCAGAAGAGCTTGAATGATTATTTGGATGCCAAGAGAAATGCTTTCCCAAGATTTTTCTTTATATCTGATGATGAGTTGCTGAGTATCCTTGGCAGCAGTAACCCACTGTGTGTCCAGGAACACATGATAAAGGTGCAATGTCTGGCTTTCCACAGTGCCTTGTGATTTTAGATGCTTTAAGAAGTTTAGCAGACTGTACTGTACCTGCTCCTAAGGGTGCACTAATATTTTTTGCACACAAAAAGCATCCTGGCAGCATCTTGTATCAAATCTGATGGATATTCTCTCCTGGCCAGTAGCAGTTACAGTAGAGGATTGTTGATGGAGGAACATTCAAAATACATCAGAATGATCTACCATTAAAGAACCTTCCTGTAGCTCCTCATAGATCTTTATTTTCTAGAAAAAAAAAGGTCAATGTCATTTGGGCCTGATTATCTTCCTGATTACAGTTGGGATGCTGGGCTATACATCAACATTTGTATTTGATTACTTAGGAGCCAGATCCATTTTTCCTTAGAGTCCATGGACTTTTCTTTCAAGATGAAATGGGGGCTGGATACACTTACATCCTGGAAGCTATGGTTCTAAAATTCCAGTGAATTTTTTTGCTGGTGCCTTTCAGATGTTTGATAATGTGGCCGCCCTGAGGTTCCAGGATGGTGACGATGGTGAGAAGATTGCAACAGCCATGATCTCGGCCGAGAAGGAGGTGATGGAGTTCCGACAGGCTGTCCCTGCCGTGGGCAGGGTGGAGAACTGGATGACAGCAGTGTTGGAAGAAATGAGAAGGACCAACAGGCGCCTCACCAAGGAAGCCATTTTTCGCTACTGTGAGGACAGAAGCAGGTGACAAAACCAGTGGCAAGGATAACACAAATTCCTGATGTGTTATTATGAACCTGTAGCGATGCAGAAAAATTAAGACTCATTTTTTTAATTCATACACAATTTAGCCTGTGTTTCTGTATGTGGAGGGATATGAATACGTGCATATGCACTATTTTAACTAACCAGGAAAAATGTGTTACCTCTCATATCTAATTTCCTAAATCTTGAGGTTTTATTTTTAGTGGTGTTTGCTCGGTATGTTTTTCTCATGATGAATTCCAGTTGGCAATTGTACACATGGAATAGGCAGCTTTTCTATCAGGGTATTTCCTAGGCTTCTGAAATCCCACAGCACACCCTGATAGAATTCTGTACATCTCTGAAAAGTTTAGCTCACGTTGTAGTTGTTGCAGAAATAGGAAAATAGAAGGAACTTTTTGTTTGTTTGGTTGGTTTTGGTTTTAGTTTTATTTTCTGATCAGTTCCTTAAAATAAACAGTGACTCAGCCTCCCTCACTATATGTGTTTTCCATAGAGTTGATTGGATGCTGCTCTTCCAAGGCATGATGGTGCTGGCTGCTAATCAAGTGTGGTGGACTTGGGAGGTAGAGGATGTCTTTCGGAAAGTGAAGAAGGGAGAAAAACAGGCAATGAAACTCTATGCCAAAAAAATGCATCAGCAGATCGATGACCTGGTGACCCGGATCACGATGCCTTTGAGCAAGAACGACAGGAAGAAATACAACACTGTCCTCATCATCGACGTTCACGCCAGAGACATTGTCGATATATTCGTGAGGGACAGGTAAACCTACTGCTGAGCCCAACCTGCTGAGCAAATGCCAAGTGCAGAAATGGTATTTCCGTGCTTTAACTCTGTGTTGTGTAGCATCCTGCAGGCTCAGGAGTTTGAGTGGGAGAGCCAGCTGCGCTTTTACTGGGAGCGGGAGCCGGACGAGCTGACGGTGCGACAATGCACCGGCACCTTCTCCTACGGCTACGAGTACATGGGGCTGAACGGGCGGCTCGTCATCACCCCCCTCACCGACCGCATTTACCTCACCCTCACTCAGGTACAGTCATGTGAGCTTTGCTAGCAAGCCTGGGAAGTAAGATGCCCCCAAGAATTCCCAAGTGGAAGGATCGTAGGGAAAATTATTTCCGGAGTCGAGAACACTGGACTTAAAAGAGCATTACTCTTAATGGTGTTTCAAATGCTGGGCCTGAGGAAAGACACACCCCCTGTTCTTCTCAGGGCTTTTATCATCCCTGGCCCCCTGCTCTGTGGGGTCTTTGACATGACTTATCTTTTTCTCATACCAGAGAGCATTTCTCTGGAATGCAGGAGGAGAAAACTTCTAAAACTGTCTTTGGGAAAGATGCCTCTTCTAAGCAGGAAAGTCTTCCTAAGTGAAACAAGCTCTAATCTCCTCACCATAAATCTTCCAGAAGGGTCTTCTACCCTTACAAAGCCCTTGCTGTAGTTCTACACAATCACATCATTGTTCTGTTGCCTCCTCCTGCCATCTCCCAGATGCCAATGTGAACACTGATATGCTTGAAATCAATTGTGATATGATTGCCTCATTGCCTCAAGGATAATGCAAAATGCATTCACAGATTAAGTTGAAAGTTTTGCTACCAACCAAATCTAAATTTAATCCAAGCTTTGCTTTGTTTTTTTGTCTATCTCCAAAGGCTCTATCAATGTTTTTGGGAGGAGCACCAGCAGGGCCAGCAGGTACAGGGAAAACAGAAACAACCAAGGATCTGGCCAAAGCACTGGGCTTGCTGTGTGTAGTGACAAACTGTGGAGAAGGCATGGACTTCAAAGTAAGAGTTAAAGATCTGTGTTCTCTGATAAAATACCACTTTCTGCTCTTTTTCAGTGCCCAGGATAAGGACATACTCTGAACTGCTGCATAAGTACCTCCCTTAGAGATACAATGCTGTTTGATAATGAAATTTAGCAAAAAATGTCTATTTTGAATAAATTCCTGGAGATTTTCAGGTGCTTTCAACCAAGGGAGCAATGACTATATGATTTGTGTTAAAGCTTGTGATGAGCATTCTGCACTTGGCAAGTAATTATTGGAACACCTTATGAGAGATTGCCTGCTCCTGCATATATAAATATGCAGAGGTTTTGCCCAGTAATTAAGAGTTTTAACATACTTAAAAGTTTTTTTGATGCTGAATGTTTTTATATATTCATTGCTGAGAGGTTTTTCTTGTTGTTCCTTTTAGGCAGTTGGTAAAATTTTCTCTGGTCTTGCCCAGTGTGGAGCTTGGGGATGCTTTGATGAATTCAATCGCATCGATGCTTCCGTGCTTTCAGTCATTTCCTCTCAGATTCAGACAATTCGAAATGCTTTGATGAATAAGTTGAAAGTATTTCAGGTAAACATTAAAAAAGAAGAGTAATTGTGAAGGCTGAGCTTGGGTTTGAGGCCAACATCCAGGGTTAGACCCCTTCATTAGATCAAAGGGCTGCTGCTTCTCTAATTTGTCTGTGCTGAACATTTCAAACTGCAGAGTATCTACTCTCAGTTTGAAAGATGTTAAATCCTTGCTGATTTCCTTTGCTTGGTTCTTCCTTTGTGAAGTGGGATAAAAGTGATCCTAATAGGATAATAGTAAGTAAATGGGATAATAGCATAGTAGTAATTAGGAAGAGGAGTAACTTAACTTGATGTGGATTGTAGGCTCTGTTTACTGATGTTTATTGGAATTCAAAACCCTCAGACAGAAAATTTGATTGAGGCTTGTGAAATGTCCTAAAGTTTAGATCCAAGATCCACTCATCCCACTGTTTGTGTCTGGATGACTGTGAAAAGCTAAATATTTTAACACTTTGTCCTAAGTGGGTGCCCCAGTATTGCTGTTTTTCTTTTTGAGCCAATAGTACTATTTGTTTCAGTTCCTAATTCACATTGTTCTAATGTTTTCTTTAGTTTGAAGGACAGGAAATTACACTTGACAGTCGGATTGGCATTTTTATTACAATGAATCCTGGCTATGCTGGTCGGACTGAGCTCCCTGAGTCTGTGAAAGCTTTGTTCAGGCCTGTGGTTGTTATTGTACCAGATCTTCAGCAGATCTGTGAGATAATGCTCTTTTCTGAAGGGTTCCTTATGGCAAAGGTAAGAAAATTTTATTGCTGCCCATACCTGTGTACACACTCACGTTTCATGGCCAATGTTTGGTTGCAGCTTACACATTTATGATTGTCTAACTTAAATCTCGAACAGGTCCTTGCCAAAAAGATGACAGTGCTTTACAAGCTGGCAAAGGAACAGCTTTCTAAACAACATCACTATGATTTTGGACTGCGGGCCCTTAAGTCAGTGCTGGTGATGGCTGGAGAGCTGAAAAGAGGATCAGCAGACCTCAGTGAGGTAGATTTGCTGCTTAGTTACCCTGGGCAGGTCATATTTTTCAATAGGAAGGGTAGGTGTTTTACCCATCTCTTGTGGTTTGTCTGCTTTGGAAATAGGAGCATTGGTGTTACTTGTCTTATTATTTCAGTTGGTTCTTACTGAGTTCCATCATGCTCTCTACCAGTAAGTTGCCATCAGAAATCAGGTCAAAGTAGGGAAATCTATGTAAAATGAGGTATTTTACTTCTTGTTGAGTCCAGGATGCAAATAGCCAGAGGAATGTCTGTGAATGAATAGCAAAAGCTGGTTTTTGAACAGTGAGTGCTCCAGCTCAGGGAAGCTGTGATGTGGGCCACTCCAGCCATTTGGCATTTGGTTAATATGGAACAAAAAGGCACTGTGGTATTCTTAGCTATTGATCTGCTTAACCCTTGTAAAATAACCTTTGTTGTTTCCACTAGTAACTGGTGCCAAGAAAATATTCCCAAAGCTATGCTGAAATAATCAGGCACTAGTTTTTAAAGATGTTTGAAGTACCTAATTTTGGATAATTGGTTAACTGATTGGTAAACATTGATTTTGCTATGTTCTGTCTAGGAAGTTGTACTAATGAGAGCTCTACGAGATATGAATCTTCCTAAATTTGTGTTTGAAGACGTACCTCTCTTCCTTGGCTTAATCTCTGACCTGTTTCCTGGCCTGGATTGCCCTCGAGTTCGCTACCCTGACTTTAATGATGCTGTAGAACATGTGCTGCAAGAACGGGGTTATGTTGTTTTACCAGTCCAGGTATAAAAAATGTTAATTGCTTGAGTTTCTGTTGTAAACATTAGGCTGAAGGTGCATCGTTGTACTGTGGAGTGGCTCCAGGAAAGCTGATCTGATATAGGCCAACTGCTAATCTTGTCCACAGAGGAGTTCTGACAGTAGTCTCCTGAATCAATATTTATTTTCCAGGTGGATAAAGTAGTTCAGATGTATGAGACAATGCTAACCCGGCACACAACAATGGTGGTTGGACCTACTGGAGGTGGCAAGTCAGTTGTCATTAATTCTTTGTGCCGGGCCCAAAACAAGTGAGTATAGAATTTGATACATGGAAATCAGGCTGTAAAATGGCACAGACTGTATTGCTCAGCCCTGTCTAGTCATGACAGGGTCAACAGCTGCCCAGAGTATTTGCTTGGGTTAACAGGAGATGGTATTGTGTGATTTTACTGTGCTTTTCTTGCTGTATCTTTAGGCTGGGATTGTTGACAAAGCTTTACATATTGAACCCTAAAGCTATGAGTGTGATTGAGCTGTATGGGATCCTCGACCCTGTCACACGAGACTGGACAGATGGAGTCCTGTCAAACATTTTTCGGGATATCAACAGGCCAACTGACAAGAAAGAGCGAAGGTGGGCAGCTAGAAATCATTGTGATGCTTTTTTAGATACTGAGATTTACATCAATAAAAAATAAATACTTGATACTGCACTGTTTAAAACAGAAATTCTAAATAAACAGAAAATGTCCAGGAGTGTTTCTGTCTCCCTTGAGTTTCTAGCCTCAGTGAAATGATGCAATTTTAAAAAATGAGTGGTAGGCTTCCAAACAGCTGGGCTGACACTCACACCATTGATGACACTTCTGAATTCTGAAATATTAATAAAATCAGAGATTAGACAGTGCCCCATGGCTCTTGTACACAGGTACATTCTCTTTGATGGAGATGTGGATGCTCTCTGGGTTGAAAACATGAATTCTGTCATGGATGACAACAAGTTACTGACTCTGGCAAACGGGGAGCGGATCAGACTTCAGTCACACTGCGCTTTGTTGTTTGAGGTAAGAAATGACTGGACCATTTAATACATGGGAAGGGTTAGAGACAGATGGGGCTTCAAAGCCTGAAAAGCAGTTACTGTGGCTGTTCTTTGCTTAAGTGTGTGATTATCTTGTGTGATTATTTTATAGGTTGGTGACTTACAGTATGCATCTCCTGCCACGGTGTCCCGCTGTGGAATGGTCTTTGTAGATCCTAAAAATTTGAGATATGAGCCCTACTGGCAGAAATGGGTCCAAGGAAGAGAAAATGAGGTGGGAATTTCTGCACTTGTTCAGCAAGTATTTGTGTTAAAAACTGCATTTCAGATAGTTAAAGACAGTCTGATTTTCTGACAACAGATCTAATCACTAGACCTGCAGCAGAGGGCTAAAGAGAATTCCCATCTTTTCTGAATTCTGGTTGTTTCTGAGAAGTGAAGAACAAAGAGTTAACAGTGAGATTGCTTAGCTCCTTGTTTCTTACATTTAGTTTAAAAACTCAAGTCCACAGGGAGCTGAAGTAAGACAACTTACTTGCTGTCACCTGGTGAATGCGGATCTTCACCTCCTGAAAACCCAGTCCATACAACAGCATCGCATTTCTTCGTGTACCCTGTCTTTGGTAGATGTGATTCCTTCAAGAACAATCATATCTGGTCAGGGAGGTGTTGATGGGAAGTGCTGCTGTCAAAAATTTGCTTTCCAGGTTTCTGTGTGTTGAATTCTTGTCCTTTTTGTTCCTCAGCAAGAGAGATTTGACTTGAATCGTCTCTTTCAAAAGTACGTGCCCTACCTTATTGACATGATCGTGGAGGGAATTGTGGATGGCAAACAGGGGCAAAGGCTGAAGACCATTGTTCCTCAAACAGATTTAAACATGGTAAGAAACAGGGAATAAAGGCTAAACATGTTTAACTAAAAAGAAAATGGAATGATGGAGAAAGTATAATCTTCCCAAAGAAAGGAGTAGAGTCTGTGCTGAAATGTGAGTTTGCTTGTGATGAGCACCAAGAGACACAAAGCCAATCAGCTCCTAACAGTGCTCTTCTACTGTCCTTAATACATACAGCAGTAGATTTACCTGGACAAAAGGACAAAAAATCAGCAGACAGCTGAAAACATATGATGGGTTTTCATTTTTCACACATCTAACTGACAATTTTGTTTACAGTTTTGTCTTTTTTCCAACAGGTTGTGCAGTTGACTGTGATGCTGGAAGTCCTAGTGGTACAGTCTGAGAATCCTGATGTTCTGGAGTGTTTTTTTTTGGAAGCTTTGTACTGCTCCTTAGGTGCTACTCTTCTTGATGCCGGGAGAATTAAATTTGATGAAAATGTTAAACGTATTTCCTGCATGTCCACTGTTAAGGATGACAACACCCTGGCTAAGGCAGGGGAGCTGCCAGGTAGGATCTCGTCATAATTTAATCGGAATCCCACTGATTATATTAGGAAAGTGTTAGTTTCCATGAAGGTAGATCACTGTTCTTCCTTCCAGCTGGCTATTTCTGGCTGCAAAATCTGCTCTTTGAGGGACTATCACTGAAAACCACCTAGAGATATTGATGCTGGATGCCTCTCAACTACTGGTCTGTCCTCACAGAACAGTACTTTTCTATGCCAAGCTGAAGAGATAAACAGTGAAAGGAAAAGTAAAATGTGAAAAAAAAGCCACTGGAAGGTGCTTATAAAGCAACATTATGACCCAGGTGCTGGACTAGGAGAATTTTGGTTAATGACAAGCAAACAGAACAAAGCTTAGTCCAGATTCTTACCCTTCATTTTCATCTCATTCAGATTGTTTTCTTGTGAGATATTTCAGTGTCCTAGAAAAATTGCAATTGCTTAATGATTTGCAGGTCAGCTGCCAACTTTGTATGACTTTCATTTTGATGGATCTGAAAAAAAGTGGGTACCTTGGATGCAACTTGTTCCTGAATATATTCATAACCCTGAAGTGAAATTTCTTGACATTCTAGGTGAGTGTAAGATAAAATACAGTGATGATCTACCTTTAATTTATAATGTGTCACCACTGAGTGCATGGCACTTAACATGAGATATCTTCTTTCTCTACTGAAGATCATCTACTCAGGTTCAGTTGCTTGTGAAGGAACACATCCATTTTTTTAATGTTCTTGTCATAGTAGTTTGCCAGTAATAGAGTTGATGTTCACAGTGTAATAAAGGAATGAGGAAAGGATGAAAGCTTGTTTCAGTTAATAAGGCTTATTAGGAGCCAACAATACCTTTTACAAGCCAGAATAGCAGATGATTCACAGTTTGCTGTACCAGAAATTCTAGGAAAAACATCAGCTCAGTGGTTCAGATACTCAGTAGATAAAAATTATGTTCTTAGGGCCATTATTGGTTGTTACTTCAAGCATTGCATAATGGTGACAGGTGCTTTTCATAGTTCAGGACAAATTAAGGCCTGTTACTTTACAGTAATACTCCAGCAAGCACAGGTTAACTTCACTGACACAAGATAATTCTGTGATCTCTGAATTTGCTCCTAATGCCAGGCTATTCACATGGAAAAAAAAATTAATCTCTGTAGAGTTCTGGGAAAATGCTTATGATCCAAATAAATCCAGATTATATCCTTGAAATAGGGATTAAATGGAGCTTAACCAAACCATGACCCTCCTATATGGATGATAACTTCTTTTTTAATATATCTATAGAAGAAAAGATCCCAATGATAAAAGCTGAAAAGAGTTGGTTAAGCAGTTAAAATTTTCTTACAACACTGTGAGTTGATAATTCTTTGTACAACTGCACATTAATACTTTGAGAGTGTGATCCAGCATTATTCTATAAATATAAATCCCTGGCTGTAGTGCATTTTAATTTAACCAGGGATTGTATCCATGCTCTTTTCCAGTGCCCACAGTGGACACAACTCGCACGTCTTGGTTACTGGAACAGATGGTGAAGATAAAACGCCCAGTTGTCCTTGTAGGTGAATCGGGCACATCCAAGACAGCAACTACACAGAACTTCCTGAGCAATCTGGACAAAGACCTCAATGTATGTAGGAGGCATTTTGCCTTGTTTGTAAAGCTGCATTTTCATTCCTTGTCCTTGTGTTAAATCTGCATTGTGAAGGCTGAGTTTGTGAGCAGCAATAGTGACCTGAGTAACATGACTGCAACTCCAGGCCCAAAGTGTGGGAATGACTTGACAATCCTTCAGGATCAGAGGTGTTTTGTCCTCTTCTACCATGTACAAATCCAATTTTATAAAGTAAAAATATATAATCAAAATGCTAAGAATGAAGTTACTTTGTCATCTGTAATTCAAGTGAATAATGGACGAGAGAAACATTTCCTGTACACCTGACAGTTTAATATAGAGAATATTTTTGAATGGTCTAGTGAAAAAACAAAGAACAGGTAAAAATCCATTCTTACCCATGTCCTCCCTTTGCAGCTGGTGCTGGTAATTAACTTCTCTTCTCGTACAACATCCATGGACATTCAGAGAAACCTGGAGACAAATGTAGAAAAACGAACTAAGGACACTTTTGGCCCTCCCATGGGAAAACGTCTCCTGGTGTTCATGGATGATATGAATATGCCAAAGGTAAGCTGCCAATAGTTTGAAAGGTAGTATAGAAACATTTGGGGTGGCACTGGTGTGGTCCCTTCATGCACGAATCCAGTGAATCCCAAGTCAGAGGGATTCATGGTAAGTGTGTCACTGGATTCCAGCTCAGGATCATCGGAAGAGTTGGGTTTGTGTGCCAGAGGGGTTGTTTCTGTCTGTTACAATATTTGTCCTATATGTAAGAGAGATCCTGTTCGGTCATCTTTTTGTGCCATTAAAATCGTGTTTCTGTGGCCTGATATTGGATGCAGGTTCCTTTCTCTTTACAAATGGGGCAAAGAGTGTGTGTGCATTTAGTTTATCTCGGAGAAGAGGTGCTTTTCTCATAGGAGACTTTGGAGTGAGTGTTCACAATCAGTGCTAGAGCTTTACGAAGTGTCACTTAGTTCTTGTAACATTCTCCTGAGTATGGAGCACAGTATTTCCACATTTTTAGCAGGAACTGGGGTGCTGATGTACTGTGCTCTAAATACCTTGACTCTTGTATCCCTAAGGTGGATGAGTATGGCACCCAGCAGCCCATTGCCCTGCTGAAGCTGCTGCTGGAAAAGGGTTTCTTGTACGACCGTGGGAAGGAGATGAACTGTAAATTCCTTCGAGACCTGGGATTTATTGCTGCCATGGGCAAGGCTGGAGGAGGTCGGAATGAAGTGGACCCTCGGTTCATCTCACTCTTCAGTGTTTTTAACATACCTTTTCCTTCTGAACATTCACTGAAGTCGATCTACTCCTCCATCCTGAAAGGCCACACTGCGGTAATTTCACTGCTTTTAAAGGATTGCTCAACAGGTTTATTAGTTTTAAATAGACATTTATTTCTATGTTGTTGCAAGACCTGAAATCTTCTGTTATCAAGCTTTTTTATTACTAGAACCTCATGTGAACTTTCCCTTCCTCTTCTCTTTCTCAATGGGTTTATACTGTTAAAATGAGTTCTTGAGTAATATGTAAACATTCAAGTCAGCAGATAATTTATAAACCTGGTGCTTTTCATAGGTTGAAACCTGTGAATGATTTGGTTATAGTTCCTGTGAGCACAAACACAAAGATCAGCAAACTCTTTCCTGAATGAGTGTGAAAAATTTGATACAATGCATTAAACTGCATTACTAGCAAGGAACCTGCAACATCAGATAATAAAAGAGCAGTTTAATTTTTCTGCTATGGAAATGCAGTGGAAATTCCAGTCGTTGAGTTTGATGTTATCTTGAGCACACAGCAAGCTCCAGAGTGAAGATGGAGCCTGCCCAAAACATTTAAACTGCAGAATGTTCATCCTACAGAGAATTTCTAACTGTATTTGAAATATTCCAAGCAGGTTTAAAAGCTGGAAAGCAGACTGTGTTTAATAGCATTGAGTTCTCTCTGGGCAGTCTCATGAAAATTCCTCTTCTTTCTCATGTTTGCAGACATTTACTGAGGCAATATCAGCCATCTCTGACAAGATCACTCTGTGTACTTTGGAGCTTTATAAAATGATTATTAGTGACCTACCCCCAACTCCTTCCAAATTCCATTACATTTTTAACCTGCGGGATCTTTCCAGAGTCTACAATGGACTTGTTCTTACAAGTTCAGAGAGGTAAGAATAGAAAAATTGGCTTCAGTGGTCCTACATTTATTTATTTGGGTGAATCTAGGTGAAGGTGAGGTATTTTGGTGCATGAAATCAGTCTCATTTGGTTACTTTTCATTACACCTGTGGCACAGTGAGAATTAGAACATCCTAAATTGTGATCTTACTCTTTGTGACAAACACTGATGCATTAGTCTTTCTCAAATAAGATATCTAGAGGTAAAATTGCAAGCAAATTATGAAAAGAACAAAATCAAGAGAGCAAAAAAAGGAGTAAGAAGCTCACTCTAGTATTTGCTCATTGTTATTAACCATATGGCCTTAGGAATCATGTCAGCTCATTTGTGCACTGTGATATTTTGATGTTAATTCAGGTTTCAAAAAGTGACCCAGATGGTGAGAGTTTGGAGAAATGAGTGCCTGAGGGTTTTCCATGACAGGCTGATTAATGAAGAAGACAAAGCATTGGTGAGTAATTTCTTTCAGTTTTTAGTAGTCACTCACTATTACTTTGGCAATTAATTTGCAACAGCAACATTACCAACTGTTGGACTCAGGTCTTGCAGTCCAACTGCAAACTTGTCTGGTCAGTATATTGGTCATTAATTTAAAACATGACCCATGGAGGTTTTTTTCTAAAATAAAGTGACTGTGGCAGACTAAGAAATCAGATAAGGAATGGAAGGTATCAGTTGGTTTGCCTGTCCAGGAAAATTGGTTGGCAGCAGTACAAGTGCCAAAGTGTGAGAGCAGTGCAGGAGAAAACTCAGGAAATCACTTCAAGTCAGTATTTTCCTTCAGGAAGGATTATATCAGAATGTGACAACAATCAAGTAGGAAAAAGGATAAGAACTGAGTTCTTAAACAGTGGACTCAGTTTTGGCTGTTATGCAAACTGGAAAATTATATGTATATGTTTCAAATTATATCTTAAAACACAAAAAAGAATGATGCCAGTTTTATACCCTCAGAATTAGGAGAGAAATTGGGGTGAAGACTACTTATGTATAAGCAACTTGCTTTGCTTTGAAAGTTGCTTAGATGAAAAGAAGTAGATTAAGATGGCTTCAGATTTTCCTGCTTAAAACTTTCTCCTCTAACATACAAAGATAAATCTCCAGCTCAATTTTCACAATTCAGAATATTCATGCAGACTTAGAAGCTTTGTGAGAAATCTTGCTGGTGAGACATCTGTAAGTGCTGAGAAAGAAAGTTTATTAATATACTGTTTACACCAATATGTGAGGAGGTGTGTTTTTTTTTTTAACAGGCTTATCCTTTTCTGTTTTAACATTCTAAAGTCCATTGCCTTGATTGGTTCTTGAACCACCTATTAGATCCTTTTAGATCATACATAGAACATAAAAGGGGGCTCTATTCTTTGGATCTTCTGGTGACAGACTCATTTCATATCCTTCAAGGTACAAGGTCATATAAAAAGCTTGGTGGAAGAGCATTTTGCAGATGAACTGGAGCATGCCATGAGGGATCCAGTTCTTTTTGGGGATTTCAGAACAGCACTGAATGAAGCTGAACCTCGTGTTTATGAAGATATCCAAGACTATGATGTAGCAAAAGCTCTCTTTCAGGTAGTGCATCAGCTTGGAACTGTGCCTGAGTCTGTCTCTGTGCCTGAGGAATGGGCAGGAGCCTGCCTCAAACCGTAGGAAATCTGTTCCCTTCCTGTGTGCACATGGAATTCCATGTGCAGAATTCCATGTGCATCGATATCCACTTGGGGTCTGCAGTCATGAAAGCTGAGGATCAGCTACAGTGAGCAGTGTTTTCCAATAGTTTATTTGCCCTGAGAAATGGGAAAGGAATAATGCTGCTGAGTGGGTTGTTATTTTACTAATGTTACTAATTGTTTCATGGATCTCCTAATAACATTCTGTTCACCTTTCTCTGAAGGAGATTTTGGATGACTACAATGAATTCAATATTAAGATGAGTCTGGTTCTTTTTGATGATGCTTTGGAGCACTTGATCCGTATCCATCGCATCATCCGCATGGACCGAGGGCATGCCCTGCTCATCGGAGTGGGAGGCTCAGGGAAGCAATCCCTAACAAGGTTGGCTGCCTACACAGCTGGATGTGAGGTAGGTGACCCTGTGTCCCTGCAGTGAAAAATGACAAGGAAAGGAATATTGTGATGGGGATTAAATTAGGGGTGGGAATAAATCAGTCAGTCAAGATAAGATCAGACTGGCAGCTCTTCCCTGTGGAGAGAAGCCCAGGGTGAGGTGATTGCCTGGAGGTCCAAGATGATGACTGTGGGTGATCTGGGTTTGGCACTGGGGACAGAAAACAAGGATGGGTTTGCCAATGAACAACTAACAGTCCCTAACTGCTGCTCTTGATACTTCAGTGTATTCCAGCAGCTGGTTGGGGAACCTTATTGTGATTGATACTGTATTATATCAGACAGGAAGTGTTCCTCTCAGAGGTATTTTCAGTTTCTTACAAAAGCTTGGAAGGGAAGAACAAAAAAGGAGGATGAACACAAAGCAATTTTGAAAACTCAAGCCTGCAGGGTTGTACAAATGTCATTTTTAAAAAGAATGTAGTGCGTAATTTTGTTGATACTTACACATTTGCTGATGATAGGGGCCAAACCAACCCTCTTGATTAAGCATGAGTTACCATCATCTCTTGAGTCCATCTGTGTCTTCTCAGTATGTGTTTTCATCCTTAGATATTTGAGATCGTCTTGGTTCGAGGATACGGAGAAAATAATTTCCGAGAGGATTTGAAAAATCTGTACCAGAAGCTGGGTATTAAGAACACGCCAGTGGTGTTCTTATTTACAGATGGCCATGTGGCAGAGGAGAGTTTCCTGGAACTCATCAACAACATGTTGACTTCAGGTGCCACTGGCAGCCTCAGTTACTCCTGATCTGTGTCTGCTTGTGACTCATAATCTCAACTGTGCCCTTGACAGAGCTATTTCTGGTGCTCCTTGTGTCCTCTACTGCTTTGGTACTACCTGAAATGGTCTTGGCCTTAATAATGGCTTTCTGGCACCTTCTTACAGTCATTTCTGTGTGTCTGGGAAGGCTGTGGGGTTCATTCATGCTGCAGGAGTCTCAGATTTCTTCCAAGGCTCCCTTGGATCATTCTAATTACAGCCTTTTTTTTCCCCTGGGTCTGTGGGGAGGAGGAGAAGCATAGAGAGATTAATTGGTTCATTCAAAACTACTCAGAGTCATTTTTGCAGAACTAGGATTAAAATTAGACTCTGGTTTCTCATCTGCCCTGTCCCCAGCCATATGGTTTCCTCTTCCTGGTTGTTCTCACTAACGTTCTTCTGTCCTTATGTTACAGGAATGGTGCCAGCCCTTTTTGCAGATGATGAAAAAGACGCCATCCTAAGTCAGATTGGTGAGGAAGCTGCTAAAGCTGGAGTGCACACAGCTAAAGAGAGTGTCTGGCAATATTTTGTAAGCAAATGTGCAAGCAACCTTCACATCGTCCTGGGAATGTCCCCAGTTGGGGACGATCTGAGAACGTGGTGCAGAAATTTCCCAGGTATCAATTGCACTGTTTAGTCCCCTCCCTGTGAAATACAGATTAACAGGCAAGAGAAAATCTCCAGTGGACACTGAGAGATGTCTGGCAGCTGAAGCCAAGCAGAGCAGGGTTCATGACTGAGGATTTGAAGTGTATGATTTTTTTTCCAGTTAATTACAACGTATAAGGGAGCATTATTGATTAGCATTTACCAGATCAGTTAATTTTCCAGCTGAACAGCTGGAAATCAATTGGTCATCCTCATTGAACTGAAATTATACAGCCTATGTCTGCAGCCTCTCTTCTGTGGTTTGCAGAAGAATGTGTGGTGTTAAATCATTATGAAACCAGGACGGTGGTAAGAGAAACAGTTTTGTATCCAAAACCACCCAGGCCTGGCAGATGTTGCCCTTCAGCAGGTGAGTCCTGGGACTCCTGGAAGAGACACTGGAAAGATGCATATGGGTGGGAATGCCAGCCCAGGCACTAAAATATCTTGTTGCAGCTCTTGACTGTAGAATGGAAGAGCGTAAAAAGAATGGAACCATGGGGTTGGCAGGACAGAGGGGCAAAGCTCATTGTTTACTGTCAAAATGGAAGTATTAACTTTGTGGTAAATTCTGTTGCTAAGCAGGAGGCAAATAAGACAGATTTGCAGATTCTTGATGCGAATAAAGTTAATGAGTGGACTGCCTGTCAGATTAGGGGCTAGTTTTACCAAGGAATTTTGGAGATAAAACTGTCCTTTTATTTTAAGGTCTTGTCAACAACACTGGTATTGACTGGTTCTTGCCCTGGCCCGCCCAGGCCTTGTTTGCAGTTGCACAGTCCATTGTGGGTATGTAAGATGTCAGTATTTGAACCCCTTAACCCTTGCTACAGTCTAAGAAATAAATTCTTTACTTTGCAGTTATTGTACAATTCACAATTTGTTACCCTTGTTACCCTGAGTCTAAATGGGTGATGCAAAAACCCCATCCAGAAATGTCACTGGATGGTAGTTTCTTAATCAAATAGGTTTTTAACATTGCTAAAGTTCAGGTTTCCAGCTCTGCAGACAATGTGAGCTGCCTCTAGGAGGTTCCCTTCTGACTCTGCCTTGATTTTGCTTTTTGCCCCAGAAAGCAGATTTGGTTCTGTGCCTGTCTTAGATGTACATGAGAAGGATGGCAATTGGTGTACTCTGAAAAAACCACACATCTTTGCAATGTTTTATTTCTTCTGCCCAATTTTAGTAAAGAACCCACGTATCCCACCAGAGAGCTCCAAGTCAGTGATTGAGCACATGGTGATGGTGCATGAATCTGTAGGGGATTTCAGCAAGAGATTTCTGGAGAAACTGAGACGTATCAATCATGTCACACCAAAGAATTACCTTGATTTTATCAGTACTTACACAAAATTGCTGGAGGAGAAAAATGAGTTCATTTTAGGTAAGGCCGTGTAGATGTTTTCTGCTTTTTAATAAGTGATTTAAATATTTTAAAAAGAAGGAAAACTGCTGGTGAGAATCCCACATATTACCCACAATATGGAAAAATCCTATTAGCAGCACTATCTGAAATGCTGTGCTGGCATCTGATTTGGACACTGACCCAATATGCTGGCCACATGTAAATGTTCAGGCCCTGTCAAACAGTGGGCTCTCCCCAAATCCTTTTAGGCATGAACCTGAGCCAGAATCTCCAAACCAGACATTACTCTGCTTGGGGAAGAGTGATTAAATCTGATACCTGCTCAGCCTCAGTCAAGGTTTGACATTCTTCCTCAAACAGCAATTCTTATTCATACTTCAGTGGCATTGAAATATGTGAAGAGGATAAAACATGAGCAGTGTAATATGGAAAGCAAGTTGTGGCACAGGGCCACTGTGTGTCAGCTCAAGTGACATTAACATCATCTTGGAGAGGAGGCTTAGGAAAGGAAAAATCTCTCAATGCACCTCTAAGCACATTTCCCCTTTGTGAAATTGTCTGTTACTGTGTGATAGGACACAATCCATAAATAATTTCTCTTTTTTCCTACCCAGCACAATGTAAGCGACTGGATGGGGGGTTAGTTAAGCTGAAGGAAGCTGCTGTACAGCTGGCTGAGCTGAACCAGAAACTTGCTGAGCAAAAGATTGTGCTAACAGAAAAAACAGCTGCCTGTGAGGCTTTGTTACGAGAGATTGCAACAAACACAGAAGTAGGTGAGTGCTTTACAGCTGCTGAAGGCTAAGGTGAGGAAAATGTAAACATAGGCAAGCTGGCAACACGAAGACTCTGAGTTGATGGGAATTTCTGATTTTCAGCAAAGAGTAAATCTATATTAGTTTATGAGTGTATGTTCTGTATACAAATTTGAATAATTCATTTATGGTCCTGCCTTTTCAATTCCTAGCTGGGGTGAAGAAAAAGCTGGCTGAAGAAAAAGCTATAGAGATACAGGAGCAGAATAAGGTTATTGCTGTGGAGAAGGCAGAGGCTGAAGAAGCTTTGGATCAAATCAAGCCTATTTTAGAAGCTGCCAAAATGGAGGTTGAGAAGCTTGACAAGGCTGAAGTTACTGAACTCAGGTGACTCATTTGCATGTACAGTAGCACAAACTCTTGGAAATTCACTGAGAGACCCTTGTTTGCCTCACCTTTCTCACTTACCTGTGAAGGTCAGGACATCAGCTGTGTGGGTGCAGAGGACATAACAGAATCCTCCAATTCCTTGCCCAGGACTTCACCTTAAGCCAGTTCTTCCAGGCCTTTGTTTGCTGTCTTCCCCATATTTCTCTGCCCTGTGTCTAGTGCCCTGCGCTAGAACCTGCTGTGGGTTTTGCCTGAACAGTGACTGTCCAAACCCATTCATTCCTCCTCTGTTTTTTTTCCTGTGTCTACAGGAACACATACCAGTTATTTTTCAGGGTTGCTTTCACAGCATGAAAATGTATTTCCCTGCTGAATTAACTTCTTCCTGTGTTTTTATGATGCATCTTGTATTTGGAGGTCGATGTAAAGGCACATCCAGTCCTTGGCTCTCCCTGAAGTAGCCGTCCCCAAAATAGCAACAGCTCTCCCTTCCCTGCCACAGTTTTTTGGTTTCCTTTCTTTTATGATCTCTGGATTCTCCCAATGGGAAGCTGCTTCACTGCCCTGTGGGGGAATATTGTGGCTCAGGGTTCTAGGCCTTCCATTGTTGAAATCCTTTAATATTTCATGGATCAGATTGTCTGAATACAAGAATTTTGAGCTTTTGAGTAGTTAATAATTTCATGGATCAGATGGGTTATCTTTTTCACTGTATGTGGCATGTTTTATGTACAAGCTCTTGTACTGCAGTGCCTTTCTAACAGGTAATTATCATGTCTGGCATCATGTGCTTTGTCTCCTCCTTTTTCTCTTCCACTATCTCCTTCTGTTTTCTAGATCCTTTGCAACACCCCCCAAGCAGGTGCAGGTTGTCCTGGATTGTATTCTTATCATGAGAGGTTACAAGGAGCTGAACTGGAAGAACGCCAAGGCAATGATGGCTGACACAAATTTCCTGCGACAACTGTTGACGACGGATTTTAGGGCAATTCCATGGAGTAATGTGAAGTCTATGAGAGGTGAATTCCTGATCTGTATACTTGGAATGAACACAGGATATTGTTAATGTGATTAGCCACGTCAGCAGCAATCCTTCCAATGTAGTTTGGGAGGGTGGGATTCACTTTGTGCTAAGGGACAGCGCTGCCCACGATGCTGTGGGTGTTGCACTGTTGGGATGACTTGATTTTTCAGAGTTCAAAGACCTTCTACTTGTGTTCCATCCAGTTTAAACCCTACCTAGGGTCTTACAGACTCTGGTTTAAAGCAAGCAAGGATAGCTGAGTAGACCTGCTGTCTCCTTTTAGCTGCTTAGTAGAATTATGGCCTCATCCATGTGCTGGCAATTAAAATGTGATGTTACAGAGTGGAAAGAAGATCAGCTATATCTAAAGTTTATGGACCAAACTTTGCACATGCTCTTAAAGGTGTAATCCAGAGCACTTCCATTAAAAGGGGAATTTGGGTCTTGGAGCAAAATTGCACCTGACTGCTGCAGAGAAGACAAAACATGAACTTCAGACATAATGAACAACTCTTGAAAATACTCCCTTTATGGAGAAAGAACTTGAGAAATCACTGGGAATATTGTGCTTGTATTGTTACAGCCCAGTAGGTTCATCTTAAAGTCAGAGTCTCTTTAATATTCTGACAAAGGTTTCATATTGTCTGTCACAGCATTGGCTGATATTGCTGGTGGGGAAAGCTATTTCTTTGAGGATTTCTCACTGTAATTCAACTCAGTTGCAATATTTTTGTGTTTGCCAATTTAGCTCTGTTAAGGAATCTTAATACTACCTTTGCTGAAATGGAAGTTATTAGCAGAGCAGGACTGGGAATGTTGAAGTTTGCTGAAGCAGTGGTGACCTACTGTGATGTAGTGAAAAATGTCAAGCCCAAGGAAGAAAAGGTAAAATGTGTTGGATTCAAGCTCAGGGGAGGCTGAAGCAGGATCTAGATGAAAAAGATAACACTTGACTTGTCAGACTGCCCACTTCTCCTCTTGAAGTGCTTAAAAATAGGTGTTTAGGAGAGCTATTGCAGGTGGAGTGAGGCAAGTAGTTGGTCATAAATGGCTGTGTTGTGTCATGATGTGGGTTGCCATCCATGCCAGTGCTTGAAGGAGGAACATGTTCAGTTGGAATTCTATAATCTAACATGTTTAGAAAAACACAGTTGATAGCTGTCTACTAAAACCAGACTTCAAAACACATAGCATTTGTACAGAGCAAAGTTCAGTAGAACACAAAATCCATGTTCCTTAAGCAAAGACCTTTAGATTAACTTTCTTTAGGGTGACTGAAAGTTAGCTGTATCACCAAAGGAAATCTAATGTCCAACAGGTGACCCTGGGAAACTTTTGTCGGGAAAAGGTTATTATACAGAGCTGACTACTGAGAAAGTATATTCACCAGATGATGTGTCTGACTATTTTTGGGGCCATAATATTGTTGTTAAGCTGACAAACCTCCCATTTTGTCAGGGGATGAGAGTCCTGTGGACACTTTGAAATAGATGAAATAGCCAAAAGAAATCTGAAAACTTAAGACTCCTCTCCAAAACCCTTCTTTCCTCTGACACTCATCTTTCCTTCAAAATGTAATGTAGGTGGCAAGGCTAGAACGGAACTATTTGTTAAGTAAGCAGGAACTGGAAAGGATACAGGCAGAGTTGGTTGCTCTCCAGGCTGAGCTTAAAGCTTTGGATGACAAATATCAACAGGCCATAAAAGAAAACCAGAAGTTACAAGAAGAAGCAGAGATTATGCAGAGAAGATTAGAGGCTGCTGACAAGCTCATTGCTGGCTTGAAATCTGAGAATGAGAGGTAAGTCTGGATTCAAAGAGGGACATTTTTGACATCAGAGGGTCATGTGTCAGGGATAAAATCTATCAAGCAGAGACATTTTTGGAAATGTCACTTCCTATGGTGTTTGTTGCTGAGAGGAGCTGTTATCCATTCTAAGCTAATATCCATTAGCTCTTGAAAAATAACTCACATTAGGAGGAAGAGGGTTCAGATCAACTCAGTGTCTCTGGCCATCATAATAGTGAGAGAACAACTGATTCTAAATTTGGAGGTCTGTCTCAACCTATATCTAAAGTAGCAGCAACTGGAAATTCTGCACATAAACTCCATCTCTCTGGTACAGACTGACCCAAGATTCCCTTCTAATTCTACCAGGTGGACAGAGGAATTCAAGGAATATGAAATACGAAAGGTGAAGTTGCTTGGAGACTGTCTACTTGCTGCTGCCTTTCTGAGCTATGAGGGAGCGTTCAGCTGGGACTTTCGTCATGAAATGATGTATAAGGTGTGGCACGAAGATATCTTCTCCCGAGAAATTCCATGCAGTGAATCTTTTAGGTTAGAAAGCCTCCTGACTAATGAGGTGGAGGTCAGCAGGTATGTCCAGTCAAGAAACCCAGTGAGTACTGAATGTGAGATGATAATGTGAGAGTCTGGAGCTGAGCCTGGAGCACAGAACTGGCAGATTGTGGGTGGAGGTGCACAGCCATTCCAGAGAGAGAGAATCCTACTTTCATGTCAAGAGGAGGAGACAAATTATTTTCCCTCTGGTTAATGAAGGCCATTTGTTGTGACAAATCATTGTACTTTACACTCCAGGGACATTCACTAAACTCAGATGCATATAATATCATTTTTAGGAAATTTTTAGAGGAGTTATCTATAAAATGTGTTCCCATAACCCAATAGGTGTCTTTTCATTGACTTCAATGAATCTGGTATAAAACCCATGCCCAGATAGCCCATATATCAGCTACTGCAGAATTACTCACCAAAGGCTACAGTATGAGTAGTGTAGTTCCAGACCACTCAGACAATGGGTCAGGCTGAGTTTTGACACTGTTCTCATAACCCCATACACTGTATGTTTCCTTGTGTGTCAAATAGTGTTCTCAATGAATTTCATGGTTCTACTGGCAAATCAAATGTGCTGCTCTCCCATGGAGTTTTCATCCCAGCCTGGTCTTTGGTCTGTTCTGTTCCCAGATGGGTTTCCCAAGGATTGCCTCCAGATGAGCTCTCTATCCAGAATGGCATCCTGACAACATATGCAAGTCGCTTCCCACTCTGTATTGACCCACAGCAACAGGCATTACATTGGATTAAGAAGAAAGAAGAAAAAAATGATCTGAAGGTAAAGATAAATAATTGTTTTACCTTGTTACTGGTTGTTTTCAAAGCTGCATAAATCCCTGTCACCTTGAATGGGGAACCAATTATAGAATTATAGAATCATAGAATGGTTTGGATTGAAAGGGACCTTCTAGTTCCACTCCTCTTCCATGGACAGGGATATCTTTTACTATCTCAGGTTACTCCAAGCCCTGTCCAAGCTTGTTTTGAACACTTCTAGGGATGGGGCAGCCACAGCTTCCCTGGCCAACCTGTGCTGGGGCCTCACCGTCCTCTGAGTAAAGAATTTTTTCCCAATATCCCATGTAACACTGCCCTCTTTCAGTTAAAGCCATTCCCTCTTGTTCTATTGCTAAATGTCCTTGTCAAAAATCCCTCTCCATCTCTCTTGAGGCCCCTTTAGGCACTGGAAGGTGCTATAAAGTCTCCCTGGAACCTTCTCTTTTCCAGGATGAACAACCCCCCCTTTCTCAGCCTGTCTGTACATGCAGAAATATTCTCACCAAAAGACTGATGTAGATTGTGGATTATCTCAGCTCCAGGATGGAATTTTCATGTAGAACAATAAACAGTCAGAGGCACATTTAGAACTTTGAAGAGTAGTTCTCCAAATGGAAATTATTTTCAACTTTAATTATAATCAGAAAAAAGGCACCTTTATTGTTTTGTACAAGTGCAGTTTATACCAACCATGAGAGGAAAGACAAAAAGCAGCAAAGAGCAAACTTCACTAGTGCTGGCAGCTATTGGAAAATAATAATGTTCAGCAAATTGAGTATTGGTTCTCCTTTCAAATCTTCCCATTGTTCTCTTGCAGATGGCTTCCTTTAATGACCCAGATTTCCTTAAACAACTAGAACTGGCCATAAAGTATGGAAACCCTTTCTTGTTGCACAGTGTGGATGAATACATCGATCCTGTGATAGACAATGTCTTAGAGAAGAACATCAAAGTTTTACAGGGGCGAGCATTCATCGTCCTGGGGGACAAAGAGGTCGACTATGACAGTAATTTTAGATTGTACCTGAACACCAAATTAGCAAACCCAAAGTATTCTCCCTCTGTGTTTGGCAAAGCCATGGTTATCAATTACACAGGTGAGCTCAAGTGTGGTTTAGTAACAAAGCAGTGATTATGATGCAGTGCAAATTTAGAGGCTGGGTTTATGATGCAGTGCAAATTTAGAGGCTGGGTCGTTGTCTGAAATCTCAATGAAGCTCTAAAAAATTCAGTCTCCCTTATACTTAGCATCTGATTTAATAGAAAATCCTTCTCACTTCTCTCTTCTAATCTGCAGCTGAGACAAATATCTCTTCCTGCACCTGTCAGGTGAGGATGCTTAGGTACAATTAAGATATAGAGTCATTAACCAAGTCACTCTTGCATTGCTGTAGTTTTATGAGATGCTGGAGATTAAATAAGTTGTATAAAAGCTGTCCTGTGTTTAGAAACAGAGTGTGCTGTGTCCATGTGTTGCACCTGTAGTTACACTGAAGGGCCTGGAGGATCAGCTGCTCAGCGTCATCACGGGCTTTGAAAGGAGGGAATTGGAAGAACAGAGAGAACGTCTCATCCAGGAGACAAGTGAGAACAAAAACCTGCTGAAAAATCTGGAAGACACTCTCCTTCATGGACTGACAACTTCCACAGGAAACATGTTGGACAACGTGGAGTTGGTGAAAACCCTGGAAGAGACAAAATTCAAAGCTACTGAGGTACCAGCTCTGGGCTTTTTGGAAGGATACATAGTCTTTCCTTTTTCACTGTGCTTCATCAAACACAGAGAGGCAGACATTGAGCAGCTCTGATTGTTGTGATATAATAGATACCCTCTGGATCAGCACAGCAATTCCAGGTGTATAAAATCCCTGTTTTACAGGTGATTGAGAAACTGAAGCTGGCTGAGACGACAGCAGCAGATATTGATGTCCTTCGGGAGGGTTACAGACCAGCTGCCAAGAGGGGAGCCATCCTCTTCTCTGTATTGTCTGAAATGGCACTTGTCAACATGATGTACCAGTTCTCACTGGTCTCCTTCTTGGAGGTTTTTGGATTCTCTCTCCGGAAATCCATGCCCAACCCGATTCTTCCAAAGCGGTTAAAAAACATCATGGATACACTGACTCTGAACACCTACAACTATGGCTGCACAGGTCAGTGCCATTTAGTGGTGGGCTGAGACTGTGATGTGCAAAAAAAGGCAAAGCCATGACTTCAGCTGGTTTTAATAAAAGAGGCAGTTACCAAACAGTGAATTCTCTGATGTTCAGAGCCCAGCACTGCTCCTGGTTCACTCTTTACTCCCTGCTATTTCTATTAAAAGAAACTACACACATTAATAATGTAACTCTTGCAGAAATGCTTTTCTTAACACAGTTACATAGGTAAATCACAGCTATGGAGTTCACAGGTGCTGTATTAACTCTGTAAGCCTGATCCAAAGCCCCATCTTTGATCACTCTGATCCCAGAATCATAGAATCATTAAGTCTGGAAAAGACCTGTAAGATCATCAAGTCCAATCATCAATCAAATGGTCTTTGTGGGGTGACCAGATCACTGAATCATGGAATGGTTTGGGTTGGAAGGCACCTTAAAGCTTATCCAGTTTCACCCCCTGCCATGGGCAGGGACACCTTCCATGAGACCAGGTTGCTCCAAGCCCTGTCCAACCTGGCCATGGACACTTCCAGGGATGGGACATCTCATCAACCCCACAACAGATGCAGGATGTGGACTTAAAGATTGCTTCAGTTCAACAAGCTTTAGCAGCTGATTTGGGAAATATTGTCCTTTTCATGCAGGCTTGTTTGAGAGGCACAAGTTACTGTTCTCCTTTAATATGACTGTCAAGATAGAACAAGCTGATGGAAGAATTCCACAAGAAGAATTTGAGTTCTTTTTGAAAGGTAAAGTGAATATTTATATATAAATATTTAGCTATAGCTAAAAGATCTTTTGAAGACAGACTTTTGACTAGATATGATTTACTAAGAGCCACTGAGGAAAACTGCACTGTGTTGATTTACACAACTGGGGATTCTGCTATTTCTATTATTTTCTCTCTGTGAAACAACAAAGAGGTCAGACTTTCTCTGTTGACAAATATGACATTAGTTGATGGTTAGGATGTTACCTGAGGGAATAATCTGTAGTTACTTTCTGACTATGTGTGGATATGCATGTAGAAATGTTTGCAAAGATAAAACTCTGGCTTTTGCAAGCACTTGTAAAATGCCATCTTTCCTTCAGCAGAGCAGCCTAATCTTGCAGTGTTTCAGAAACAAATTTCCACTTGGTTCCTCTGTGCTTGGGACTGTGTGTGTGGTCATGTATTGGAGAATTTCTGCCATGGACATTCACTCTGGTTTCCCAATGTGACCAGGCAATGTTTCCCTGGAGAAGAGTGCCCGGAAGAAACCGTACGCTTGGCTTCCAGATCAAGGCTGGGAAGACCTGATGCGCTTGTCTGAACTATTTCCTGAGACGTTTGAATCTCTTCCAGATGATGTGGAAGACAATCCAGATGAATGGAAAAATGTATGTGCCTTTTTGCAATCCTGTTCTCTCTCCTAGTTTTGACACTGGTATGAAATATTCAAGTGTGGTGCACAGGGAGGACATCACTGCAGGCTCCTTCCACCAAGGCCTTGCTAGTTAGTGATTGGCTTCTTTGCAGAAGAATTAAAGATTATATTATTTAAAAAACAAACAAACAAAAAAATCTTCCCTGGTAAACTGTGGATTTTTTATTTGTCAGTCAAATGCCTTAGAGGAGTTATTTGCCCTGTTGAAGTCAGTGGAATTTTTTCTCTCAATTTCAACAGTCAACATTTCACTGGTATTTTTATGCTGCTAAATTGTACTTTGATCTTCTTGTGAGTTCCAGTGAGTTCCATAGGCTAGTGACAAACACAGATTTCCTTTGTTCTTCCTGTAGTTTCATTTCATGTCTTTTTGCTTTATAAGAAATCTACTTGTAAGCAAACTGTTAATACTTATTGCTTGGGATGCTGTTTTCTGTATCTTAAGAGAATTACTTGACATAAAATGAAAGTACAAATGTGTTTCTGGACTTGAATACTTTATACTGAAAAAGTTGGATTTTTTACCCAATCTTTTAATATGTACTTGCAGCTGATTGACTTTCTTTGTTTTCCTTGTGTCTCTTGGCCCCTCCTTCACGAAATTGGTTTTCTCTTTCCTAGTAATTTCCCTGACAGAGCCATTTGATTCTTTTGCCTTGTCTGCCATCTTTTCTTGCCAGTGGTATGACACAGATGCTCTGGAGCAGACCCCATTCCCAATGCAGTATCAGGACAGTCTCACAGACTTCCAGAAGCTCCTGCTTTTACGGTGTTTCCGGGTGGACCGGATGTATCGGGCGGTCACGGACTTTGTGACAGTGACAATGGGGGAGACGTAAGTCACGCTTCTCTTTCAAATCCAAACCACACCACTCAGGGGTTTCACACAGTAAATGGTTTTGTAATGTGCCTGAACAGCAGAGCAGGAGTTGTGTCTGAATGATTTCCATGTGGAGTCTGGGGTGAGCGTTGCTGTTCGTGTTCATTGTTCCCACACAGAGGCTGTTCCGTGAAAAGTTGCAGCTTATTGGGCTTCTCCCCTTCCCAGGTATGTGCAGCCCCCTGTGATCAGCTTCGAGGCCATCCTGCAGCAAAGCAGCCCTTTCTCACCTGTGGTTTTTATCCTAAGTCCTGGCTCTGATCCCGTCAATGACCTCATGAAACTGGCTGAGAGGACAGAGTTTGCAGCAGAGAGACTCAAATTCCTGGCCATGGGACAAGGCCAAGAAAAGGTAACTTGGGTGGGAGGGTGGGAATGTGCTGTGTGCAGCAACTCTGTGAATTGCAAGCCGTGCTCCCAGTGCTTTGGGACTGATCAAATCTCCTTTACAAAGGTCTGCACCATTTGAAAAGGAGTTACTTCATGGTTCTGACATACATTTGCCAGTCTGGAAATAACGAAAGGGGGTATTTGGCTGACTGGCTGCTGTTCTGGTTTGGCTGAAGGTAGATCCAGAATCAGATTGTCAGCTTTTAAAAAATTGCTGAGCTGAAAATATGCTACTCTGCAGCCTTTCAAAGGCTTTCAGTGGCTGGAGCTCTGTGTATGGATGTGAGGTGGCTGGAAATCACCAGTGTTTGTTACTGAAAAGATATCCTGCTGCTTTTCCTGCCTTTTGTTTTTGTTATGGACACTAAGGCAGAATGTCCAAAGCTTCAGAGCTGACTAAATTTGCCATGATTTCAATCAGTGGAAGAGCTCCTGTCAGATTCATTTAGACCACCAATTCCTAGACTGATCTCCTCCTTCTCCTGGGCCATGAACACTCCTGTGCTGTTTGGAAACAATTCAATGCTCTGAGTGACTTTTAATTTCAAAAAGAATTAATGAAATAAAAACATCTCAGAGCACCTTCTTGTGGTATGGGAAAAGGTCTGTTCTCAGCAAGGAGCATTCTGGTAAGTGCTGAAACTAAAAGGCTGAGTGTGCTTGCAGCAGGAAAACCCACTGCATGAGCCCATCAGAGGCAGTTTGCTCACAGGGTAAAGGGAGAGTTACTCACAGATGGTTCCTCCCTCTCTCCAGATCGCTTTGCAGATGCTGGAGGAGGCAGTGGTTCAAGGAGAATGGCTCATGCTGCAGAACTGTCACCTCCTGGTGAAGTGGCTCATCCATCTGGAAAAGGCCCTGGAGAAGATTACAGAGCCTCACTCGGACTTTCGCCTCTGGCTGACAACTGACCCAACTAAAGGCTTCCCAGTTGGAATCCTGCAGAAGGCCCTAAAGGTACTGTGCAGTGAGGAAACCCCAGTCAGGAGGCCATGTCCTGCCACTGGTACTCAGCAGAAAAGGCTGGCTCTAGATGCCTGACCTCAGTGCAGCACCCTGACCTGGGCTAAGGAACTCACTTTTTGTCTTTATAAGTGAAATCCTTTTTCATCATCCTGTTTATCTTACTGGGATGATTCCTTTGGGTGAAAGCTGCTCAGTTTTTTTCTGAAGCAGTTATTTTGAAGTAGAGGTTTGTGAGTACACCTGGATATATGACAAATGCTCTTTAGATTCAAATGCTGCCACAAGTGAGGAATATCTGGAGAGCCAGAAATAGCCCCGTCAGCCCTGATGCTGCAGTGCAGAACTGAGGCCTGGCAGCCGTGCCCGTGGAGCAGACATTGGAATAGGATAATGGTTTCCAGCTGCTACTTCAGGCTGCAGCATTTATCACCAGAGGCTGAGCTGATTATTTCGAAGGCACAAGCCATGATTCTGGTCTAATGTCCTTTTCCATGGCTGCTTTACTGCTGCTGTGGTGACCTGTCCTGTAAACATCGTTATTTCATTTCACAGCTTGGAAGGCAGTGGGGTGACAGACCCAGCCCCTGTGAGCTCTGGGGCAGTCACAGCTCTGGGTTGTTCTCCTCCAGCAGTGGGGCTGAAGGGATCTGAGTGGATCTTTAAGCCTGCAGATCCACACTTTCTGGGTCTTGACAGGACCAGTGAGAATGGAGGTTTTACAGCACTTTGGAAAAAAAACCTCTGGCAGTTTGATCAGCACTAAAGCCATATTAAAGACTATAAAGCCATTTTACTGTAGGGATATAAGACACACCAAAATGTGTAAAGTATTGCTATTTCAGAAAATTAGATTGTCAAGTATGGGAAAAATAATGTCTTGCCAATAACATGAGTATTTCTAAAATAATATCACATTTTTCTTTACATAGGTGTGTTTACCTTGATAATCTTAAAAAGCTCTGTTTCATGTCTTTACTTAAAGAAAAAAATCCATATTGATAGGAACTTGGAAAGCCACTTAAAATGTTCAAGCTTGCATTGTATAGCTTACTTAATGTGGTACCTTAACAGCTTATTTTCCTCAAGTTATCGAGAAACTGATAGCTTCCTAATTATTTTGATAGGTTGTTACAGAACCACCTAATGGTCTGAAACTGAACATGAGAGCCACCTACTTCAAAATTCCCCAGGAAGCCTTAGAGCAGTGCCCACATCCTGCCTTTAAGTCCTTAGTCTATGTCTTGGCATTTTTCCATGCTGTGGTTCAGGAGAGAAGGAAGTTTGGAAAGGTTGGCTGGAATGTACCGTATGATTTTAATGAATCTGATTTCCAGGTAAGAAAACAATTACAATGGCTCTTATATTCCTCAGTAGCTCAGATTACTTTTGAAAACATAGAATTTATCCATTTTTAATCCTTTCTCACAATTAGATTTTGCTTAGTATTTTTTCCTGCTTCTGTGGAGTCCTGTAGACTCCTGATCTTCTATAATGTCAATTTGAGCCACTAAAAATTAAATTCCCAATCCTTCATGTTTATGTTGTCTCTCTCATGGGTTTCTTTTCCTAGGATGATTTTTACTTAACTTTTTAATTATTTCAGAAAGAAATAATTGTTAGTTTTCAAACAACAACTACATTAAGAAGAATCTATACATATCTATATCTGATTTATGAATCTTCTTATCTCACATGTTCCAACAACTTTATTAGGTCTGCATGGAAATCCTTAACACATACTTGACAAAAGCTTTTGAACAAAATGATGATCAAATCCCTTGGAGCAGCCTCAAATATCTTATTGGGGAGGTGAGTGCCTAGAGTGCCACTTGGTGCTAAAAGAATCCAGTTAAATGAAGTTTCCTCTCTGCATGGGCTGCATCAAGTAAAGCTGGCTGGGAATCATTCCTGGGCAGGCTTAATCTCCAGTTTAAACCCTCGAGCAAGGGCCTTAATCTCAGTCTCAAGGAAATAGGGCCACTGTGTCTAACTGCATAACAGGGAGTTACGGTGCTTAATTAATTTTGAGAGCCCTTGGGATCCTGTGCTGAAAGGTTCTGAGCACCACAAGTGCACAGTGTTATTGGCACAGTGGGGTGTCCCTAGAGCTGTACAAAGGGATGTTCCCAAAGCTCCTGCAGGACTCCATGTCCTGTGTAGCAGCTGCACTGCACTGTCCAGCTGCTGGGACATGAAATCCTGAGGAAAACTGTTACTTTGCAGCACTTAATCCCAACTGAGCATGAACTAGTACCTCAGGAAGGTACTGCTGCACATAAATTGCTAAAATGGGTGATCAGGAGTTCCCAGAGCAGCTCTGTCCAGGCCAAGGCCAAATACTTCCTGCCTGTCCCCCTGAGAGGGGCTGGAGAAGGTCCCTTGGTATCCATAAGGGAGACAGTGTTACACCAGAGCCGCTGCAAAAGCAAAGAGTATTTTGGACCTTTCAGTGATTTTTCTAAGCTGTATTTCCTGCTCCAAAAGCCAGTGCTGTGATACCGATGTCGTGTTTTCCAGGTCATGTACGGAGGGCGCGCCATCGACAGCTTTGACCGGCGCATCCTGACCATCTACATGGACGAGTACCTGGGGGATTTCCTGTTCGACACCTTCCAGGTGTTTCACTTCTATAAAAACGACAAGGTTGATTATAAAATTCCACAAGGGACAGTCAAAGATGACTTTGTTGGTAAGAAATGCTTTTCCTGCCACGTACATTAGCATTAGGTCTCCTTCCAGTATCCATCCTCTCCATACATCCGTTGCTGGATACAAGAAGTTGAATGCAACACCAGGCACTGCCAGTGTACGGATTGCAGTCTTATAATCCAATGCTTTATATGAACTGCTCTTTGGAATGTAATCTTATCAGTGAGCTCCTCAGTTCTTTTAAAAAAACCAAACCACAAACCCTCAGTTAAGCAGCAGGTTAATTATGTTTAGTGATACATTTCTGGGGGGGTCTGGGTGTGTTTAAAGTGTTTATTCACTCCGTGAGTTGCTCAACACCGGCTCTAGCATTTGATTTTTTCCATGCAGAGCAGTAACAAAATTGCTGTGTTGTTCTCTGTGCCTGGTGAATGTGGGCTCACAGAGCCCATGTGGTTGTATTCCAGAGGCCATAGAAGCTCTGCCGCTTTCCAACCCTCCAGAGGTGCTTGGACTCCATGCCAACGCCGAGATCGGGTATTACACGCAGGCGGTGCGGGATATGTGGGCTCACCTGCTGGAGCTGCAACCCCAAACAGGTGTGTTCTGAATGAACTGGGTTGGTAAATAAGAAATCATGGCTGTGCCCCGGGGTCTGACACACCAGCCATGCCATGGCAACATGTGTGTGTGTGGAGTGATCCCAGGGAAAGGGCGGCTGTGTCCCGGCCTTGGGGAGCAGAGGGAGCAGGACAGTGGGACTGAGAAGTGAGCAAAGGCGCAGCACAGCTCTGCCCTGCCAGCCTGGAAATGGCTCAATGCATGCCCAGAGGCACAACTGGAGACATGCAGGGAGTCTGGTGGGCAAATGTCACAGCATCATCAGAGACTGATGCCAAAAGGTGACTCCACTCAACCTTCTCTCAGAGAATTAATCACGGAATGGGTGGTCAATACAGAGCCTCACTTAAACTTTTTGGCTGCAGGTGAAACTGGTGCAGGAATTAGCCGAGATGAATATATTGCAAACATTGCCAAGGATATAGAAAACAAATTACCCCAAGTATTTGATCTTGACCACATACGGAAAAATTTTGGCACAAACATCTCCCCTACGACTGTGGTGCTGCTGCAGGAACTGGAGCGATTTAATAAGCTGATCGTTCGAATGGGAAAGTCACTGGCTGAGCTACAACGGGTAAGTAGAACCACAGCACCTCGATGGAACCAGCTGGGCTTTACCTGCCCCAGGCTGGCACTCAGAACTGCACCGTCTTTCCAGGCCTTGGCTGGGGAAGTTGGAATGAGCAGTGAACTGGATGACGTGGCTCAGGCTCTCTTCAATGGGCAGATTCCCGGCATCTGGCGGCGGTTGGCTCCCGACACACTCAAAACACTTGGAAATTGGATTATTTTCTTTCAAGATCGGTATAACCAGTATTCCAGCTGGGTAAGCAAGTGCCTCCAGAAAGCTTTTTGTTTTGTTAATCTGCACAATGTGCTGTGCAGGTTGGTGCAGAAGGCAGTGAACACTCACTGCTTTAGGTAAGTGCCTTGCATGACTGTGGTTGCCAGGCAGACTCCCCCCCTGGCTCACCTTTCAGAGCTCTGGCCCCTTCTGTGACTGCAGGTTAACGAGTGTGAGCCCCCGGTGATGTGGCTGTCGGGCCTCCACATTCCCGAATCCTACCTGACAGCTCTTGTTCAAGCCACCTGCAGGAAAAACAGGTGGCCCCTGGATCACTCCACCCTCTACACAGAGGTAACCAAGTTCAGGACAGCAGAAGAAATCACTGACGAGGGGTCTACTCAGGGTAAGTGATTTTACAATTATTTGGCAAAAATATGAATAAAGTAGTTAATTGGTGAGAGAGAGTAAGTTACTTTGGTTACACCTCAGCAGACATACCCCTGGGTTTGCATTTCACAGCCCACATGATCTCCAGCTGGGAATTAGCTGGGTTCTGGTTCCTGCAGAGCCTCTGAGTGCAAGAAGCACCATTTTCTCTCTCCAGCTCTTCCCACGCACAGGCAGGGATTTGAACTTACTCCTCTCCCTTGCTCGCTCCCTATAAATATACACACCCTGACTTCCTAATGCCTGAAACATTACCAATCCCAGCAGGTTTATAAAGATCTATTCACACCACAAATAATATACTGAAATATATTTAAACAAAAAGTGACTATAACTATGTATCATTTATTGTGTAAATATCTCTTTATGACTCTCTATGACTAGTACTGCCTAGCACTAGGCTCTCAACAGAGGAAGGAAAAAAGTCTCATTGTTTTTGTTAAATTTAACTTGCAGTTTTAAAGTCCCCTCAGCAGCTTACCTGGATCATTCTCAATCAATGCTGTACTTCTTCATCAATGTTGTACTCAGTATTTGTACCAGAACAACTGTCCCAACCCTTCACCTGCTGTCAGTGATCCAAGGAGCAGGCCTGGGGTTACAAAGCTCTCTGGGACTTGAGCAATTGGAAGGTGGCAAATAAGATTTATTCCTGGGACTGTTTAACGTGTGTAGTGCAACTGAGACAATTTAATTTGATTTCCTAATACAGACAGATGGTAAAAACAAACGCCACAGGTAACTCACCCTGTGCAGCTGCAGCTTGAAGTGCAGCGTGTTTGTGATGACTGGAATGCCCAGGACAGGGACTGCAGGAACACCTGGCTTAAACTGATCTTTTCTAGCAGCTCCGTTTACACAAATGCTGCATTTTCTGACTTCACAGGCTGCTTTGTTTCTGGTCTGTTCCTGGAAGGAGCAGACTGGGACATGGAGCAAGGCTGCCTTATCCAAAGCAAGCCCCGCGTGCCGGTGGTGGAGCTGCCCATCCTGAAGATAATCCCCACGGAAGCACACAGGCTCCGACTGCAGGTACGGCTCCTCGGGGACACGGTGGCCACTCAGTTTATTACCTTCCTTCTGTTGTCACATCTCCACAGCTGGCAGCCCCTGAACACTTCTCCTTCCATTACCCTTCGCTATGGTTTTTCTTTTCTAAAGGAGTCGATGTGTTTGTTGCCTCTTTTCAGGCACTTTGGGACAGGTATCTGGGGACACTCTCACACTCCCCTACTCTTTCAATCATGTCCCATCCCCAGTTAATGACGTAAAGGACATTTACAGTTTCTGGGCATTGGATATTTAAGACCTCTAACAAAAAAGTGAATTTCTGAAGACAGTCATCTCTCCTCGAGGCCCTTCCTGTTCCCAGTTCCAGGTAGTACCTCAGGCACTACTCAGTGTCCTTGTCCCATCCCTGCTCTTTCAGAACACGCTCCGGACCCCCGTGTACACAACGTCCATGCGAAGGAACGCGATGGGCTTCGGCCTCGTGTTTGAAGCTGATCTTTACACCACGAGGCACATTTCCCACTGGGTCCTTCAAGGTGTTTGTCTCACCTTGAATGCAGAGTGACAGCTGAAGTAGGCAGTACACTCTTCCCCCAGAATCCAACCCTTTAGAGGGGCAGGGAGAAGACCCTCAACCCAGGCAGAGATTCAGCAGCAAGGGGGTGGGGCAGTGTTCACTTAGGCACACCTGACTTTAAATAGTATTAATTAGCTTGGTTGTATTATGCTCCAAATAAACACATTTGAAGAGGAAAGTGTTTTTTGTAACTTGTGTTTCCTTTTGAAAAGGCTCCAAGCTAGTCTGTGGATGTAGAAGAGGGAATAAGTTGGTCTCTCACGCACACAAAGACTAAGGTTTGCCTGGATGGTTGTAAGAAATGTCTTTAATTGCCCAAAGCATCACTTCTGTGGCGCCTGGAAGCGGTGCCTCCCACCAGCCTCCAACAAGCAGGTCACTCATACAACAGATCACCATAAAAATATGGTGACAACAACGAAAGTAACCAAACCCACTGCTGGTTAATGCAATACACGTAAAAACAGTAAACCTCAGAGGAACAAACTTGGTTTAGCCCACCCTTTTCCAAGGACACAGCTTTCCCCTATCTCTCCCCACCACTTGTGAAACAAATTCCTACCACCGAGCCAGCAAGGCGCAATGCTGAGGCGAGTTTGGGGCTTTGGGACAGCGAGTGACGGAGGGCACAGAGGGGTGGGGAGGTCACACCCTCCGCCCGGGATCAGCCCTGCTGGGAGGGTCATGCTGTGAGGGATTCCAGCGGTACCACACTGGGGGAACAGCTTGGCCATCCTGCCAGTGCCTCTCCGGGGACACCGACAGGGGCCCAAGGCTCCGGAGGGAGACACACACCAACACAGCTGCAGAAAAAGCTTAGGAGGGGCAGACTACAGCTGGCAAGGGGTGGGGACAGGGCAGGCAGGGAGCCTTCGTCAGCTGTCACAGAGAATACGCGTTCCAAATTTTTAAAGGCACATCATAAGCTTAGCAGCATTTGGGAGCCAATGTTTCTTGCTGGTCCTACTCAGAGGCTGCAGACAAGAGTGAAGCAGAGGTGAGCTGGAGGTGCTGATCAGAATGTAAGAAAAATGGTCAAACTTGTGCTCCTTTCCCCAAATTACATATCCTCCCAGCTCCCAGTATGCCTTTCTTTCCTAGGAAAAAAATAATAAAAAAGAATCAAGTAGTCTAACAGCTGTTGGGTTTACCTGCTGCTTACTAGAAAGAAGTAGGGGAATCTGGGCAAGTGCAAGGCAAGTCCATCCCAGTCCACAAGGACAGAAGTCAAGGATGCCAGGTTCTCCTGTATGAATTGGTTACATCGCTTACAAGTAAATACTCACATTTTAGAGGGGCAGCTCAGGTTTCTAAGCTGGCAGCAGCCAGCACTGTCTGATGATGCCCAGAACAAGACTAAGGTCTTTAGGAAACAAAAATAATCCCTTTACAAAAAAGTGCAGGTTAGACCATAAAGAACCATTTCCATATTGGATAGCCAGTTACATTTCCTCCCTGGAAAAGGAGCTCTGAGCCATACGGAAGGTGCTACAAGTGCAGTGTACTGACTAGCATAAAATGTGTCATGAAGCCATTTGATTAAAAAAAAAACAACCCCAAAACCAAACTAACCCCCCCAAACAACCCAGTGTTCATACTCTTTCTATGAGGGTCGTTAACCCTTTAAGTGGTGCTTCCCCCACCCATATTTTACTTAAAGCCACAAACCAAAGTATTTAGGATTAATCAAGTAGTGCTTGCTGGGACTCTGGGGATGTCCTTAGGTCATTAAAGTGAACGTACATGTGCACAACTTTCAGTGCTGCTGCGAGAGCGGCTGCCACGGAGCTCAGTGGTGGGTATGGCGTGCTCACGTACACGGTGACGACAACAGAACCTCTGACAGGTCACACGTTCACAGCCACACGTGGGGCTGAGGTCTGAGTGCAGGTTGTTCTCTACCATCGCTCACTAACGCAGCCCGTGCCTCTGTCCACATGTGCAGTTACACTAAAGGGAGCAGCGCTCGGAAGCAAGCGGTCAGGTCCCCCCGATTTGGCCACAGCATGGAGTGGTTATATACCTTGCCATATGAACACAGTCCTAGGAGGTTTCGTTAGAGGAGCAAAATGTATTAATGATGTACCTGGAAGGAGTTTGGCATGCATGGGGCATCAAAAGAAACTTCACCGCAGGTGCTATTCACCCTACAGGATCACAGTGCACAACCAGCACAGAACAGCGTTTCCATGGTGTACTCAGACAGTTCTGTCTGTCCCCGAGTGCTTTCTGACCACTTTGCTTCCATGGACCTGATCCACTGCCAGCGTTTCCACCTCGGGCTGGGCCTGGGAGGGCGCGACGTGGTGGATGCGATGGGCCACCCCGATGTGCGCCTTGTGCGGCTTCTCCCGGGCCGGGCTGTGCGACTCCCCGGGTGCGCGATCCGAAGCAATCGGTGGAATAACCAGCGGCCTCTCCTTGATCAGATGCACCTCTGCTGTCTCCCTGGCCAACAGGAACGGCGTGGGATCGGGCATGGCATCCACAGGTTCCCTCAGCACCAGCTTCCTGCTCTCTGACCCTATTCTGTAGGCCTCTTCGAACTCGGGGTTCAGCGGGGTTGACAGGCTCTTCTTCATCCTGCGCCGCGGAGTGTCGGGCAGTTTGTCTTTGGGAGGGGATGGTTTATAGCTGGACAACACGGGGCTGCCAGACGGGGTCCCCTCTGAAGTCCCGCTGGCGCTCATCAGCTTCTTCTTGGTCGCGTGCAGCTGAGAGGTCAGGAAAGCGATCGTGCTCGCTCTCTGCTCCAGTTCACTGGACAACATGTTGAGCTTATGGCTTTTCATTTTTAACTCTTCCAAATACTTCTTTTCTCTTTCTTTAATAGTGTTTTCCAGCACCATTATCATCGCATTCTTTTGTTCAAGTTCTTTCAATAATTCACTATTTTCAGCCTCTTTGATTTTCAGCTGAGCTTCAAGATTTTTGCACTTACTTTTGAGTTCATCACTTCGTGAACTACCACTTTCTACAAGAACAGGAAAAGCAGAAGTGTTTCACATTAACAACAGCCACTATGTAAAACAGTGCAATAGGGTTCCTCTTGCCATCCCAAAGACTTAAAGGGAATCCAAAAGACTAAGTTCAGCTAATACCCATCCCACACAATCCCTGATCCAAGAGGTTACTCTCAGGGAGTAATTTATTCCTGTGCTTCACCTACTGTTAACATAACATATATAAAATAACTAGGATCTAGTGTGTATATATGTGTGCATACTATATATATATATATATATATATATATATATATATACATATATATAAAAAAATAAAAACTTTGTTGTGTGGTGTAATTACAACACCAGCTCAGCTAAGTTTTAAAAATAGTTTCACTCTTCTGCCCCTAAAATTTGTGTCCTGTGTTCCCATATAGCACACAGGGAACTGACTGTCTAGTGGAGTCAGCACTTCCACACTCTATTCCTGGCTCTTTCGCAGTTTTCCTGTGTGACCTTGGTAAAGAACTTGTGACGTTTACTTCATAAATAACAATAAGTCTGGAAAGTAGAAAACTACACTTACTATGCTTTTAGAATTTATAAAGTCCAACATCCCAGTGCAAAGTACCTCACTTACTTAGAAAAGAAAAAATAAAGATGGTGAGAAAGATGAGGAAATTGAACATGAACATTACAAGAAAAATGCCATGTATTCCTTACCTGACCAGTCTGAACTCTTTACGGTCAGCTCATAGGTTAGATCTGAGGAGAAAAGTTGTTTATTTTTGTTAGAACATCACCACAAACCCCATACCTGGTCCCATACCCCATACACTGCCTGGTGAGCAGATTTACAATGACAGACTTAGTAAACACTGAACTATCTCTTCCCACCACCCCGAAGCAAGATCCACTGCCAAGTAACAAATGTGTAAAACAGCCAAACTATCAGCTTTGCTGCTGAGGTTTCACTGCTGAAGTAGTGAAACAGTTATTCCATTTCTGGGAAAGGACTGGAGCAGGAATGGGCAGGGACACCCTCACCCCCAGGGTACCTGTGCAGTGCTGCTGCAGCCGGCGCAGCTCCGCGTGCAGCCCCTTCAGGGTGTTGGAATGTTCTCGCTGCAGGAACAGCAGGTTCTTCTGGGCACTCTGCAGCTGGTTCTCCAGGGTTGAGGTGGCCATTGTGATCCACAGTCACCCTGCCGGGGAACACACATGGAACTGTCATGGCGAGTTACCTCGCCCATATGGAGATCCTCGCTCTGCCAGGATCAGCAGGAATGGCTGAGTTCTACTGTTAATGCACTGATGTGTCATCAGCAAATGCCACAAAAGGTTTTTCAGTTTCAGGACTATTTTGATTAGAAGTGCTCTAAGTTGATTGAAAGCCTAATTATACCCTAGGCCAGAGCAGCACAGGGAACTCATTTGTTTGGAGTTAACACATTTAAGGGATTAACGTCAGACAGTCTAAGTCATTAATCCTTTTACAAGTTAAAAGTGGAGTTCCAAGGAATGGGTTAGTATGTCCCTGCCTTACTAGGGGGTTTCCACTTACCTCCAGGGACACAGGGATTGGTAATGTCTCTGACAAGAGGACAGAAGAAAGCACTAAAATGCACCAGCACAGTCAGGCTGGTGGCACTGCCATGGATGTGGCTGCCACGAGGGAACCTGCACAAGGGAAGCTCTGGCTGCTGGTGCATTTCCTCAGCTGCATTGGAGCAGGATTGGTCCTGCACCAGCCACAACAAGGAACAAGAAAACTGACAAGGACAATGTTTCATTCAAGGAGAAAACAAATGGATTTTTCTTGCTCATGTTAGGAGTACGTGGAAACCTGTTACATCATTGGGCTCTCCTTGTGGAACAGCTTTATAAAACCAGGCCTTGGTTCCAGCAGTGCTCAAAGACAGAAATGGGTAACTGTACAATGCTGAGAGGCATCCCTGAGGATCCCTGTGCCGCCAGCGTTCCCACTGCTCCTGATGAGGCAACAATGGTTACAGTAGGAAAGGCTAAATTCCATTATAAGCACAGTCTTGAAAAACCATTCCAGTAATTAGGTTACAAAGGTAAGTGAAGAGTTAGGACTGCTGTTGCCTGGACAACCACCTGCAATGGCACTGCATCCACGTCCATATGTCGTGCACAAGATGGGCCTTAACAGGCTTGCCTTGGCATGGCAAATGTTTTCCACTGGGCTCTTTTTGGTATGTAGTTTTATGACAA